CTCTCCCACTTTAGAGAGTATTATTGCCACACATTTTAATTCTATGTAAATACACACACTGCAGAAGACATAAACACAGTCCCTGTTGTTTTGAACAGTCAGCTAGTGTTTAAATTGACTGACAGATGTACCACTTTCATTACTCTTCATTCCTGCTTGCCATCTCTGGTCTTCCATCGCAGGGTCGTTTTCTTCCTTGGTGCCATCGCTCAGCCGTGTCTGACTCTTTGCCACCCCATGGACTGTAGCCCACCAGGCTCCTCCGTCCATGCGCATCTCCCAGGCAAGAATACTGGAGTGGCTTATCATTTCCTTCTCCATGGGACCTTCCTGACTCAGGGCTCGAAACTGCATCTCCTGCACTGCGGGACAATGCGTAACCACTGAGCCACCAGGGAAGCCCGCTCAAATCTATCTTTCTAAGGGATGCTGTGCCACGTTGTACAGTGTCTAGTTTCCTGCCAAAACTGTCAAGCTTTGCAAGTTTTCCACTTGAACACAGTCAGCACAGTTGTCTAAGAGTCTTGGACTTCCCTGGTGGCGCAGTGGATAAGAACCCGCCTGCCAGTGCAGGGGACGGGGGTTCTAGCCGAAGCACCCAGAGCCTGTGCTCTCAGGCAATAAGAAGCCCTCGAACCACAGCCAAGAGCAGATCCCCTCTCGCTGCAACTAGAGAAAAGCCCGAGCAAAGCAACAAAGACCCAGCGCAGCCATAATTTAAAAATAAATAACATTTTTAAAGTGTCTGTGTCTCATATATTTCCATTATCTAGAGCCTCCAAGGGGATGTTTTTCTTGTTGCAGTGTCTGCTAAGTTTGTCCTTTTGCCTCATCTCATGTGTGTGCTTATCTTTGATTACATACTGGACATTGTATCTGAAAATCATTACAGAAGTCATTTGTAGCTTAAGGTGCTTTCTTCCTTTGGGCAAGATTTCTGTTTGCAATGCTAGTCTCCCTGGGACATTAGAAGTCCTTGGTCATCGTAATCCACTTTCCACTTTTGGAGTCCTCTGGGCCATCCATGTTAGAGAGCTGGTTTACTTCCAGGTCACCCTTATTCTTGAGGGCTGGACCCTGAGGTGGAGTGTGGACTGGGACCCCAATCTCGGCATGTCCTGGACCAGATTTTTGTTCTCCTAGCCCCAAGATTAATTCAGCCTTTCAGGTGTCTCAGGGCTCCCAGCCCCCCGAACAGGAGTAGCCCTGGTATCTGGCTCACCTCCCTAGGTCCCCCTTCCCCTGACTTTCAGTTGCTTACTCTCTCGACATGTATTCACCAGGAGGATGGTCCACTCTTGCTGTACAGGGAAGTTCCTCCTATAAATATGAAATAGGATGCTATTGAGGGTGGTCATCCTTCTGTTATTCTTCATTTTATCATGAGTGCCTCCGGAGTAAACCCTCCTCAGGTAAGATGCTGTCTCTGGGTGATAAGTGTATTTTTTTATGCCAAAGAAGTATTGACTGATTTAAAGTTTACCCTTGAAAAAGCCATAGGGCTTCCCTGGTAGTTCACTGGTAAAGAATCCACCTGCAGTGCAGACCCCGGTTTGATTCCTAGGTCAGGAAGTTCTCCTGGAGAAGGGCTAGCCTACCCACTCCAGTATTCTTGGGGCTTTCCGGGTGGCTCAGCTGGTGAAGAATCTGCCTGCAATGTGGGAGACCTGGGTTCAATCCCTGGATTGGGAAGATCCCCTGGAGAAGGAAATGGCTACCCACTCCAGTATTCTGGGCTGGAGAGTTCCATGGACTGTATGGTCCATGGGGTTGCAAAGAGTTGGACACAACTGAGCAACTTTCACTTTCACTTGAAAAACATGGGCTTGAAATGCTTACGTCCACTTATATGTGGATTTTTTTCAATAAATACCACAGCATACATAGTTGATTGAATCCATGGATGTGAAACCACAAATATAGAACAGAGGACTGACAATAAAATTATATGCTAATTTTCAACCATGCAGGGGTCAGCACCCCAAACCCAGTGTTGTGAAAATGTCAACTCCATTTTATTGACTATAAAAAAGTGGGTTGAATTTGGTCAAATGCCTTTATGAAAATTACCTATTTTTCCTTTGGATCTATTAACATGATTTATTATTTTACTGGAAGTCCTGCTATTGAATCATCCATCTCTTATTAAAATAAACCCAGCATTTTGATGTGGTACTTTATAATGAGTTGCTGGATTCTGTTCGATAATATTTTAAGGCTGATAAATATTCTGTTCAATAATATTTTAAGGATAATGAGCTTAGTCCCTCAGTTGTATCCAACTCTTTGCGACATCGTGGACTGTAGCCCACCAGGCTCCTCTGTCCATGGGGATTCTCCAGGCAAGAACACTGGAGTGGGTTGCCATGCCCTCCTCTAGGGAATTTTCCTAACCCAGGGATCAAACTAAGGTCTCCCGTACTTCAGGCGGATTCTTTACCATCTGAGCCACGAGGGAAGCCCTTTAAGGATAAGATTCTGGTAATATTTTAATGACTTTGTATTAATAAAAGAGATTGGTATAGACTTTTTATATAAGGTCTTTGGTAAGATTTGGGTGTCAATTTATACTTGCTTTATAAAAAGGAGTGGGAAATTTTCTTCTTTTTCTAGGTATTCTCTGGAACATTTAAATGCCATTGAAATTTACCTGCTCCTCAGAGGTCTGCTAACATTCCCTGTCAGGCCATCTGAATCTGGAGATTTTGAAGGGTAGTACTTCGGCAACTTCATTTCTTATTCTGAAATTTGTCTAGATTTTCTATTCTACTTATGTTAATTTTGGTAAATTATGTTTCCCTAGAAATGCATTTCATCCAGGTTTTATGTTTATTTTCCTAAAACTGTACATAGTATTCTGTGTCTTTTATTCTCTCTCTGATTTACTACTCTTGTAGCTTTGTGTATTTGTATTTTCCCCTTTTATTTTTCTTGATTAGGTTAGATACTGATTTATCTGTTTTATTGATTTTTGAGAACAAATGTCTGTCATTTAAGCTGTAGCTTTCCTCTTTTATAGCTATTACTTTCTTTCTTTTTCTCTGATTTTCCTAAATGTATTTTTCAACCCTTCTGAGTTAGACGCCAAATCAGCCTGTTTGGGGCACTCCGTTTCGCTGATCTAAGAGCTGTACACCTTCTCCTGGAGCGCTGCACTTCAGGCTTGTCCCATAAGTCAGCTATGTGAGTCTTGCTCTCATTTCTCGAGCTTCTGCAGCTTTGCATTACATCACGTCCTAAGCCCAAGAAGACTTCAGTAGAGGCTATTAGCCAGGGCCATTTTGTTTTCCGATTTTGTTATTAATTTGTATGTTTATTGTATCTGTAATCACATACTCTACTATACTTAAATCTTTTCAAATTTTTTGTTAAGATTTCCTCCCCCTCCTTTTTTTTCTTTCCCCCTTTTTATAATGAGGATTTTCCAGACCAAGTCCCTGCTGTTTGGTTCAAGTCTCCAAGGTCTGGGCCTTGGATCCCACACAGCAGGTAGCAAGAGCTCCCCAGCAAGCCAGAAGACAGTGAGTGTGACTGACCGCAAACCCAGGGCCACCAGCAGGGTCACTGGACCCAGGAGGCCTCCATCTCTTCCCCCAACCAGTTCTCCCTGTCACCTGGAGCTCTGGCCCCGGGAGGCCCTGCCAGGGCAGCACACACCAGGCCACCCCTCTGCCCAGCTCCAGCAACAGGGGCTCTGGGGACCCAGCCCGGGAGACTCACAGACACGCTTCCAGCCTGACAGCCACACCCCGACCTCAGGGTCCTGAAAACACCCTCTTTCTGAGGGCGGACAGGAGCACCCTGAGATGCCCCACAGGCAGTGGGCGGCAGAATCTTAGCAGGAGGCGCAGGAGCTAGGAACACAAATGCAAAGAGCCAAGACCTGCTAACCCAGGCTGACGCCCACCCACCCACACCCAGAGGAGCTCGGGGGGCCTCGGGCCCCTTCCAGGCCTCCCCTCCCCTCTCTGTGGGGACACACCACAGGGCATCCACACCTGGGGCCTTCCGGGCGTCCCAAGTCCTCAAGTGGCCTTTGGCTCAATCCAGCTTCAGTGAAACACCAGTTCAGGCACGAACGTAGAAAGCAGCACAGACTCCTGAGCCACTGTAAGGTGAGTCGCACACGTTTATTGCGGGCCCCAGGTGGGACGGGCCCCGGCACGTGCTCCGGTGTGGTCTGGCCGCACAGCGCGTGCTCACCGTCTGGAGGACGCCAGCTTCTTCTCGCTGGAGCGCACGCTGAAGCAGCCCTGCAACAGAGGCAGAAGGCCGGTCAGGCACCCCCCCCACCCCATGCGAGCGGCTCGCCTGCGTCGTGTGTGCATGCGTGTGCGGGTGTGCCCGGCTCTGTGTGACCCCGTGGGCTGTAGCCCACCAGGCTCCTCTGTCCATGGGATTCTCCAGGCAAGAATACTGGAGTGGGTTGCCACTTCCTTCTCTGAGGGATCTTCACAACCCAGGGAAAGAACCTGGGTCTCCTGCATTGCAGGTGGACTCTTTACCCTTGAGCCACCAGGGAAAACTTCAGTGCACAGAAAACTCTGGGGGGAGGAAGTGCTGACTTCCAGGCAAGCAAAACCCGTAACCATCCCCTCCCACGTGCTTCACATCTCGATTCAGCAGAGACGGGCGCTGGTGCGCCTCGCTCCCCCCACTCGTACGGCTCGCCCCATCCCGCGCCCACCGCCCAGCTGAGCCCCTCTGAGCGCGCGGGGTGGACGGCTTCTTCTGTACGACTGTGTGGAGGGTTCCCCTCACTGTCTGTGAGGCCCCCACAGCGTGGACCCAGCGACGACTCCCACTGAGCGACGCGAGACACCCAGATGAGCTCGGGTTAACTGCTGCCAGGCCCCCGTTCTGAGAAGAGGCCTGGCCACACTCTCTGGGTTTATACTGAGACATGATGGATGAGAGGTTTAGTGGACGATGGAGGCAAAATCCCTCTGGAACAGACAGGGTATACGGCAGGATGATCCACTGATCCAAGGAGACTTGGAAACCATTCCTGACTTTAATGCTACCACGGAAAGCCTCTCCAAACACTCTTCCACGTTCAAAAGAGAATCAGCTTTCCCTGTGACGCACCAGCTCTGAGAACCCAAACAACACCGGGCAGAAACGGAAGGGACCTCCATTCTTTTACGTTGGTTCTTCATGATGCTTCACGAGCCAAGTGTAAAATGCGTTGTCATGGACAATGGGGTCTCTCTTCAAGTGCTGGAGCCATTTCTTCTTTTGCGATCAGGACAGATTTCATACCAACAGCAAACATCCCTGTGAAGGCTCTTCTCGCTGGGCTCAAACACACCACATGGGTAGCTTGTACACTGTGTACATCATCTTACAGAACAGGCACTGCAAAAAGAACGCTGAACAAAGACAGCTCTGCCGTGGTGAAATACACCTTGTAATAGGTCACACTAAAGTAATAACACAGTGACTGTCACCCTTACCCCTCTAGAGAAGAGTCTGTAGAAGAAGCCTCTCTTCTGAGGCCTGGGAACTTGCTGGTCCATCTTCTCATCTGGCTCTAAAACTGGCTCGTTTTCCATTTCATTGATGTCCTTGAAACACTCAGACTCGATCATCTGCAACCACAGAAGGGCAGGACAGAGAAGTGACGAAGGTCCACGTCCCCCCCAGCCTCCAGCCCAGCATTCAGCAGCCACTCTGCTCCCATCCCTGTTCCCACTACCCCCGCTTCCTGACCTCCTCCTGGGGTAGGTCATGTGGCTGCCAATGTGACCCCCCAAAGCTGAACCTGTGGCAACTCAGGGAGCAGGACCCAGGTTGGCAGGTGCCCAGCAGACCCCAGAGCCACCTCCGTCCCCCTCCTGAGGGGCCAGGGGCAGCTCCTCAAGGAATTTTACCTCCAAATATGCGCACACGCACACGCACACACATAAATGGATGTGTGTGCAAAGCAGCTAGAGAGCTATTTCACAGCAGAAGCTGCTCATGTCTTGGGGGCAGGAAGGAGCTGCGGACTGCACCGCGGGGACAGCACCTCGTTCTGCCAGGGGATGGAGACACAGCCTGTGACGAACTCGCTGTAGAAGCCGCTGTCGGTGCTGTCCAGGTGTATGCCCCGCACCGCGGAGAACTGCTCGATGTCCAAGATGTCCTTGCAGTAAACCTCCTGCGGCTGTCGGCAGGAACAGAGGCGTGGCTGAGGGCTGCCTCCAGCGTGCTCACGAGCCCAGGACGCCGAGGCTCACACAGCTGTGCGCCTCCGCTCCACACCCTCCTAATTCTCAGAGCCACAGGCCCCTGCTCACCTACCACACTCAGCCACAAGGCCCCAGACAGCCCCCTCTCTCCTGCATGGAAGCTGGGTCACAGAAGAGGCTGGGGATGGAGGAGGGTGGACAGGATGCTCTTGCTGGAGCACCATACCTGAGCTGGGAGAGGAGCCAGGCCCGCAGCCCCGCCCGCACCCATAGCTGGGGGCAAGTGGGACCCAGGGCCACTGCCTCTGAAGTGGGAATCACGGGCGGGACCGCAGGTTCCTGGTTAGGACTGGGCCATTCCACCAGGCGAGGAGCTGGGAGCCCCGGGGGTGGGGGGCCCTCAGGGGGCTGTAGAGGGGGCCACGGGGAGCACTGAGGTTGCAGGTCAGAACTCCGTCCCGCCCCCACACCAAACCGCCCGACACTCGTCTCGGATGCCGCTGTCCACGGCCTCGGCCCCTGGTTATGTGCAGGAGAAGCCCCAGGACAGCCCGGCGCCTCTGCCCCTCCCTCCGCGCACCACCCGGCGTGCCCTCCCTCTGCCTCAGGATGGCCGCCCGGCCGGCCTCCACGCCCCGTGGCTGGCAGTGCCCAGCGCCCGGTGGGAAAGGCTCCGAGAGGCCCCACCAGTTTCCTCATGCTGCAGCCCATCTGGCTGCCTGGCTCAGCGAGTCCAAGCAAGTTCTTCCGAGACTCTGGGGCCTGGAACCGAGGCTCCGGAACCACATTTTGCAAGGACTCACTCAGAGGACCAAGCTGCGGCCACAGCACATTCCACATAAACACAGTGAGTCCTGACTTGCAGAGCCAGAAGGATTTTAATGGCACGTCTCAGGTTCATCACAGAACATTTCATGCACAGATGGGCACAATAAAGGACACAAACTGTGACGGAAGCAGAAGAGATTAAGAAGAGGTGGCAGCAATACACAGAACTGTACAAAAAAGGTCTTAATGACCCAGATTAACACGATGCTGTGATCACTCACCTAGAGCCAGACATCCTGGAGCATGAAGTCAAGTGGGCCTTAGGAAGCATTACTACAAACAAAACTAGTGGAGATCATGAATTATAGCTGAGCTATTTTAAAGCCTAAAAGATGATGCTGTGAAAGTGGTGCACTCAATACGCCAGCAAATTTGGAACACTCAGCAGTGGCCACAGGACTGGAAAAGGTCAGTTTTCATTCCAATCCCAAAGAAGGGCAATGCCAAAGAATGTTCAACCCCACACACAACTGTACTCATTTCACATGCTAGCAAGATAATGCTCAAAATACTTCAAGTCAGTCTTCAACAGTATATGAACAGAGAACTTCCAGTTGTACAAGCTATATTTAGAAAAGGCAGAGGAACCAGAGATCAAATTGCTGGATCATAGAAAAAACAAGAGAGTTCCAGAGAAACACCCACTTCTGCTTCATTGACTTCATTTGTTGTGGATCACAACAAACTGAAGAAAATTCTTCGAGAGATGGGAATACCAGACCACCTTACCTGCTTCCCGAGAAACCTGTATGCAGGTCAAGAAGCAACAGTTAGAACTGGACATGGTTCCAAATAGGGAACTGGAACAGACTGATTCCAAATAGGGAAAGTAGAACATCAAGGTTGTATATTGTCACCCTGCTTATTTAACTTATATGCAGAGTACATCATGAGAAATGCTGGGCTGGAGGAAGCACAAGCTGGAATCAAGATTGCCAGGAGAAATATCAATAACCTCAGATATGCAAATGACACCACTCTTAAGGCAGAAAGCGAAGAGGAACTAAAGAGCCTCTGGATGAAGGTGAAAGAGGGGAGTGAAAAAGCTTGCCTAAAACTCAACATTCAAAAACCTAAGGTCATGGCATCTGGTTCCATCATTTCATGGCAAATAGCTGAGGAAACAATGGAAACAGTCAAGAGATTTTATTTTCTCAGGCTCCAAAATCACTGTGGACAAGTGACTGCAGCCATGAAATTAAAAGACGTTTTCTCCTTGGAAGAAAAACTATGACAAACCTAGACAGCATGTTAAAAAGGAGAGACATCACTTTGCTGACAAAGGTCTGGATAGTCAAAGCTATGGTTTTTCCAGTAGTCATATGTGGATGTGAGAGTAGGACTATAAAGAAAACTGAGCGCTGAAGAATTGATGCTTTTGAACTGTGTTGCCCGAGAAGACTCTTGAGAGTCCCTTGCACAGCAAGGAGATCAAACCAGTCAGTCCTAAAGGAGATCAACCCTGAATATTCACTGGAAGGACTGATGCTGAAGCTGAAGCTCCAATACGTTGGCCACCTGATGCAAAGAGGTGACTCACTGGAAAAGACTGTGATGCTGGGAAAGACTGAAGGTAGGAGCAGAAGTGGGCAACAGAGGATGAGATGGTTGGATGGCATCACTGACTCAATGGACATGAGTTTGAGTAAACTCCAGGAGTTGGTAATAGACAGGGAACCCTGGCGTGCTGCGGTCCGTGGGGTCGCAAAAGTTGGACACGACTGAGCGACTGAACAACGACACGTTCATCGTATCCCACAGAGTGAGCTCATCTGCACACTTCCTACTTTGCCTTCGGTAGCCCAAGGCCACCCTGGGGACACTCCTCCCAGCTCCGAGCTTGCAGGCCCCGCCAGGCTCTGGGGACATGACCCTCTATGGCCCCACAGCACACTCACCAGGGCCACTCCAGGGCCCACAGCACTGAGCCAGGATCCGGTGAGACCCAGCGTGGGGAGGCACATTCAGGACTAAAGATGCCATGACAGGGGAAGGGCCCTTGCGGGGTAGCTGGGGAGGGTCAGGGCTGCCGAGGTTCCTGGCAGGGCAGTGACCTGGGAGGGTGGCTGCAGCTCGGGCGGCAGAGGGGCTGGAGGGCTGGAGAGGACAGGCCACCCCGCTGCCCTTGGCAACACACTTACATCAGGGTGGAAAGGCGGGTCTAACATGTGGGCCTCCAGTCGCCTGAAGTTGATGTCCCTGAACACAGGGTGTCCCTTGACTTCAGCCGCCCCTTCGCCCCTGCAGCCCAGGCGCTGCTTAGGATCCTTGGTGAGTAACTGTGGAGGAGCATAGATGAATCAGCCAAAGCTCCCAGGGTAAAAGGAAACCCCCGAATCTCCACTATCATGACCAAAGAATGAGTGAGGCAAAGAGCGCCTCCAATGAAACAGTCACTCAGATTTCAAAGAATAAACCAAACCTCATCACTGCAGATTTTACCGATTTAAAATACGTAACGCTTCCAAAAGTTCAAACTAAAGTTCTGCCTCTGAGCTATCAAAAAAATTAAAAGTTGACTAAATAAATCCTTAAGAAAAGTTTAACCCTGTAAAAATTAGGGGATGTTTTCTCAAGAAATAGAAGCTGTCTGGGAACTTCAGACACACCACTTCCATGCCAAGTGACATGGATAATTAGAAACCATTTTAATTTATTCATTAAACAGATCACTAAGGACCTCAGATGAAACAAAAATTAAACAAACCTAGTTCTAAAATTTGTAATTCTTAAAACTAGTAGAAAGTGTTTCCTTCAAAAGTATTCCTTACTTATACATTTACACAAGCAGACCTCTGAGCGATGGCAGGGTCGGATCCAGGCAACAGCAGCTAAGTGAGTACTGCAATAAAGCAGGTCACATGGATTTCTCAGTTTTCCAGTGCATATAAAAGTTATGTTTCTATTATTATTGTTGTTTAGTTGCTCAGTCATGTCTGACTCTTTGTGACCCCATGGACTGCAGCACGCCAGGGTTCCCTGTCCTTCACCCTCTCCCGGAGTTCACTAAAACTCATGTCCATTGAGTCAGTGATGCCGTCCACCCATCTCATCCTCTGTTGCCCACTTCTCCTCCTGCCCTCAGTCTTTCCCAGCATCAGGGTCTTTTCCTGTGAGTTGGCTCTTCCCATCAGGTGGCCAAAGTACTGGAGTTTCAGCTTGACCATCAGTCCTTCCAATAAATATTCGGCATTGATTTCCTTTAGGACTGACTGGTTTGATCTCCTTACTGTCCAAGGGAGTCTCAGGAGTCTTCTCGGGCAACACAGTTTAAAGCATGAATTCTTTGGTGCTCAGCCTTCTTTATGGTCCAGTTCTCACATCCATATATGACTACTGGAAAAACCATAGCTTTGACTAGATGGACCTTTGTTGGCAAAGTGATGTCTGCTTTTTAATAAGCTGTCGAAGTTGGTCAAAGCTCTTCTAAGGAGCAACTGTCTTTTAATTTCGTGGCTTCAGTCACCACCCTGATTGATTTTGGAGCCCAAGAAAATGAAATCTGACATTGTTTCCACATATTTTCCCATCTATTTGCCATGAAGTGATAAGACCGGATATAGTCTATTAAGTGTGCAATAGCATTTTATCTAAAAAAAAAGTACATAATTAAAAGATAATGCTGAGAGCAAGTTCAGGCTGGCGGCGGCGGTGAGGGCGCTTCTCCTGTTAAGCCCTTTCGCCAGCCGGCGGGTAGCGCTTCACACCGCGGCCGAGAAGTCTTTTTGCAGGTACCCCAGGTCCTGCATGGGTGGGGACTGGAAAGCCGCTGCAGGGGGAGCGCCAGGCCCGGGCAGAGTGCGGGTTCGCGCAGCAAGTGAGCGCCGAGGTCGTGAGATGGGTCCGAGTGAACCGGAGACCCAGAAAACGGAAACGAAAGGACAGAGAAGAAGTGTTTGAGAAGCTTCTTCCAGACCAGCTGGTCTTGCTTCTGGAGCATCTCTTGGAGCAGAAGACTGTGACTCCGCGAACTCTGCAAAGCCTTGAGAGGACGTACCACCTCTCGGAGCAGGATGCTGAGGTTGGCATCACTGGTATGAACTCATTGTTAAGCACAAATACACAAAAGTGTTCAGAGACGTGGAGAGGTTCCTTCAGGAGGATTAGGCCATGGGCATCTACCTCTATGGGGAGCTGATGCTGAGTGAGGATCCGTGGCAGCAGCATCTTGCCCGCAGGTGCTTTGAGCTGAGCAGGGAGCAGATGGACAGATCCTCAGCCGAGGTGGTGGCTGAGGTGTTATTTTAAAGAGGAAAGATCACAGTGAGAATCTTTTTCATGCGTCTGCTGTTAGCCCCGGTGGGCCCAGGCTTGCATGGACCCTGGACATCAAAGGAAGAGCGATGGGGCTGCTGAAGCCGGCAGTCAGTGGCCGCCTGCGCCTTGTGGGGTGACCTACCCAAAGGTCCTCACTGCAGAACTTGTGTCAAGAGGCGCACCCTCATCAGCAGTCTCCGGGGGGCTGTGTTATGCCTTCATGCCCATCCTGGATGAACCACCTCAAGTTAAGTCAGTTCTTCCACTCAAACACGGAAGGTCCCTGAGGCACATGGTAAAACCCACTGCACCTTCTCCACCCATCCCTCAGCGTGTGGATCTGCATTTCCGCACTCCGAGAAAGCCAGAGCTTGTCTACTAGGCCCAAGGAGCTGCTGCCCACCTATTCAGAATTACATTGATATGTCCATTATTTAGATTTTCCAAAGTTTTAGTAACTTTTGGTAGAAGTGCAGGATAAGATTCTTTAAGATTTGTTGATAATATAATGTATTCATTTTTTTTTCTTCTTCCTGTTTACTTCTGAATTTAACACTTAAAAAAAAAAGAGAGAAGGGAAAAAAAAAAAGATAATGCTGCTGGGGAAACAGTAGCAATAGGGGCTTCCCTGGTGGCTCAGTGGTAGAGAATCCGCCTGCCAGTGTAGGAGATGCAAGAGACACAAGTTCAATCCCTGGGTCGGAAGATCCCCTGAAGAAAGGCATGGCAGCCCACTCCAGTATTCTTGCCTGGAGAATCCCATGGACAGAGGAGCCTGGAGGGCTAGAGTTCATGGGGTCGCAAACAGTCGGACGTGACTGAGCACACACACACATGCCTATGCAGACTTGTTTAACACAGGGTTGTCACACACCCTCAACTTGTAAAAACAAAACACACACACACACAATCTGTGAAGCACAATAAAAATGAGGTATGCCCATTATTGGCAAAAACCAAATGGCCTTCCTCCACAATTTTCAATCAGAAAGATCTGCCTCGGCTCAAAGGTCCACAACAAAGATCTGGACCTTGGAAACCTGGCCGAGGCCAGGGGCTGGGAGGGGCTGCCAAGGGCTGGGCCAGCCCCTGTAAACAGGGTCCTGTGGGGCAACACCGGCTGTGAGCTCAGGTGTCTCGCATTGGCAGCGCAGGCACGGGCAGGATAGCGCCACAGGCACCTGCACTGGCGCCTCCCAGGGAGGCTGCCTGCCCCGCGGCCTCGGCTCTCAGCCGGAACCCACGCCGCTCCCCTCCACAGACTCGGAGAGCTGGGCCTGCCCCAGGCCTGCACACCTCTGAACACCGAGGCTTTGGCCCGGTCCTTCCCCCTTCCTGGACCCCCTGCCCACCCATCCCCAGCTCCCAAACCCTGCAGGCGATGCCTCCCCACCCACCCAGCCTGACCACTCCTTACCCGCTCTGCCAGCACCCAGGGCCAAGACCCCCACCCGAATCACCGCAAAGCCCTGGTTGCCCTCCTCCTTTGTGCCGGGCCATCGCCCCCTGCCCCCTGCCCCCTGCCCACAGCCAGCCCCTCCCGCTCCCCCAGGCAGAGCCAGGCCTCACAGTCCACCCGCCCGCCCTGAGCAGATGACAGCACCAGGCATGAGTGTGGACGGGGTCATACTGCCCGTTTTACTCACTGCTGGGCAGGGGCCCGTGGGGGATTCTCAATAAGCCCTTCTGAACGCAAACGAAGTTTAAAGTTTGCTCAGAAAACCCTTCATGTTGGCTTAAGAGAAGTAAGTGACAAGGAGTGCCTCTCTCTCCTCTTCCTGCAAACTCTACCTGTACCTGGGTCCCTGGTTGGAGCAGGACACCCTTTTAATCCTAAAGGGAGAAGCCTTGCCTTGGAAGGGCACGGGGGGACTGGGCACACCTCCCAGCTGGGAAAAGCCAAAATGCTGAGCCTAAACTGGCGAGGCCACAACCCTGAGGTTCCTCCACCCCAAGTTACCACTGAGATCAGACCCAGTGCCATGCCTGGCTTCTGGACTCTGAATGACATGGGTTCGAGTTCTGTCCATAACTGTTAGGACCTTGAGCAGCTCAGCCTCGGCCTGCTCAGCGACACTGGCAGGCGCGTGGCCCACCATCGAGCCAGGCACTGCAGAGGGCCCCGAAGGGTCTGTTGCCCGTTAGTGCCCCTTGAGGCTGGCCAGGACCTGGCCTGCACTGCCCTTTCAGCAGCGCCTTTGGAGACAGCAAACAATGACCTCTGCTCTGCTCTGAGTGGCCAGGGCCCCCGAGAGGAGGCCCCTGCTCAGCCTGACCGGACTGACAGACGGCTACGCTCCCCACCCTGCCACCCCGCCCGACCCCGACCCACCATGCTGCAGATGGACCTGGCGTCCTCGGAGAACTTCTCAGAGTACTGCTCCGCCTCTCGCTTCACTCTCCGCTCCACCTCCTCACGCTTAACCTTCTCTTTGTATTTTTTGAACGGAGAACGCCCCTCAATCATCTCGTATATCAGACAGCCGAGCCCCCACCAGTCAGGACTGAAAGTGTAGCTCTCAGAGTTGATAACTTCTGGAGCTACACAACAAATATAGGAAATTTAAGTTAAATTTCCTTGTGCTGAATGGCAAACAACTGCAAAAACCACTACAATATTGTAATTAGCCTCCAACTAATAAAAATAAATGAAAGGAAAAAAAAATAAAGTTAATGTCTGTTTCTATACGATGAACCCTGGAAACGGGAAGCTAACAAGGCAGACACAAAAGGCCAGACAGTGTGTGATTCCACTCAGATGAGGTAGAACAGACAAGTCCGTGGAGACGGAAAGTGCGTTAGTGGCTGCAAGGCTGGCAGGGAAGATGAGGAGCTGGGGTAACTGCTAGTGGGTGCACGGCATCTTTTCTGAGGGGGTGAGAAGGTTCTGAAATCAGGGCTGACAGCTGCACAGCTCTGCCTATGCTGAGACCCCCTGGACAGTACACTTCAGACGGGCAGACTGCATCCAGTGGACACGACCGTGCTTCTACCGCAGGGAGCACTGGTTTGACTCCTGATTGAGAACTAAGATCCCACACACTGCTGTGGAACGGCCAAAATGAACACTCGTGGATTTTATGGTACGTGAATTATATTTCAGCAAAGCTGTTATTAGAAACAGTCCCCACTGTTCAGAGTATGAAGTGAACGACTGGAGAGTAACCCCCGTGGCAAACGGTGCTCTGTGGGAGGACCGCCCCCATCGGGCAGAGCCAGGCCCCCAGGCTAGCGCCCCAGCAGCCACAGTGGACGGGGAGGTCAGTGCAAGGCGCAGCAGAGGCCCCCAGCCCACTTGTATCGGCGGCCCCCTGCTCAGGCAGAGTCAGGTGGTCCCTGCTCGGAGCTGACCCAAGGCCTGGCCTCCGGTTCACGAAGCCTTTGGAATGACTTGGTTACCTTCAGGACGGGTGTGTGAAGCCAGCAAGGACAGCGAGGAGGCCACTGTCCTGTCCTGTCCTGTCTGTCCAGACGATAAGGGCGGGTGGGGGCGGGTACAGACCTCAGATACCACCACGCTACCCCACAGCAGGCCAGGACGACCCCAGGACCCTCCACACGGTCAGCTCTCTGCGTCCTGAGGCCGGGAGTGCGGGGAGAACTGGGAGGCCAGTCACGTACCCATGTAGCCCAGCGTTCCAACTCTTCCATTGATCTTCTCCCCTTCTGGGACCTCCAAGGCCAAACCAAGATCTGAAATCCGGATGTGTCCTGCATGCGGCCAAACACAGGACACAAATCATGGGGGCCAGCTGACACTTGGATAATAAATAATGGAAAAAAATCTAAAACACATGGATGGAAGTTATAGCAATGCATACTTGGAAACATTTACATCTAAAATTACATGACGCTTGTTCCTTGGAAGAAAAGCTATGACAAACCTAGACAGCATATTAAAAAGCAGAGACATCACTTTTCTGACAAAGGTCCAGATAATTAAAGCAATGGTTTTTCCAGTAGTCATGTATGGATGTGAGAGCTGGACCATAAAGAAGGCTGAGTGCTGAAGAATTGATGCTTTTGAACTGTGGTGTTGGAGAAGACTCTTGAGAGTCCCTTGGACTGCAAGGAGATCCAACCAGTTCATCCTAAAGGAAATCAGTCCTGAATATTCATTGAAAGGACTGATGCTGAAGCTGAAGCTCCACTACTTTGGCCACCTGATGCAAAGAACTGACTCACTGGAAAAGACTGATTGCTGGGAAAGATTGAAGGCAGGAGGGGAAGGGGACAACAGAGATGAGATGGTTGGGTAGCATCACTGACTCGATGGACATGACTTTGAGCAAGTTCCAGGAGTTGGTGAAGGGCAGGGAAGCCTGGTGTGCCACAGTCCATGGGGTCGCAAAGAGTTAGACACAACTTAGGAACTCATCAACGACAACAACTATAGAAGATACAAACATAATGCAGTTTTCTTTGTCAACTCAACTACCAGCTTAATTTCATAAACCAAACCCCCCTTAAAGTTTGCAAAACAAACTGCTTCCACATTCAGAATGGACAAATGGTAAATGTAGCTTGAAATGTAGGCGAATAGACAACAGCTTTTTTTTTTAACCCTAAATTCAATACAAATATCAAGTTCTACTTTACACATGAAAACGGAAAACCTAACAAGCTGTCTATAATGGAAATGAAGAAGTACTTGAGGACAATCCTATTACTCTTATGGTCTATGGCTTACTGGTAGAAAATGAGTTCTTAAGAATTTTAATTCCATAACAGTAAAAATGCTAAAGTCAATTGCATGTTTTAAGTCTGAGAAACTAAAGTATAGGTAGAATTACATTTTAAAAAATTAAAAGAATAGGAAAACACAAAGAAAATATTTAAAGTCTCCTGAAATCAAGACAAGCACAACAAAGCTTTGTCACTCCTTTCTATTCTTAATGGGAATGGGACCTGATCCCTGGTGTATAAAGAACGAGTGACAGAGTGACTGCCACAGAAATGATGCTGGCTGCCTGCATTTGGGCAGGACGAGGCAGGTCTACACCACTCCTGGCCACAGCTGGGAGCCACAGGACCAGTCAGGATGGACAAGACGTCTGAGCGGGAGACCCACACCAAGGCTCTCTGCTGGGACAGCAGGTGTTCCCCTCAGGAGCACCGGCAAAGCCCGGCCAAGCCAGACACTGGGCACCGGAGCGGGGGACGCACGGACGCTCCCCAGCGGCTCCTGCCGGGACGCCGGCCAAAGCTGGGTGCAGCTGGGCCCGAGAGGGGAGGCGTGGGAACCCCTGGTGGCTGCCACGGGGACACTCGTGCAGAGCCCAGGGCAGAGCCCTCACGGGAGGCGCGCTTCCTCTGGGGACTGTCAGGAGCCAGAACCGGCCACCCAGGCGAGGGCAGCATGATCTGCCCAAGGAGGGCTCACTGCAGGAATGACAGACGTGTTTAACACTGGAAAACCAACTGATGGATTAACCATAAAAAAAAACAAATAACATATAGTCATTTTGGGAGAAAACGCACTGACAAAATTCAAGTGCCATTTTTCAAAAAGAAAAAATTCTTAAATATTAATTTCTATAAAAGTACTGCAGCATGGATTTCCCTGGTGGTCCAGTGGCTAAGACTTCACACTCCCCTGTATTGGTTCCATCCCTGGTTTGGGAAACTGGATCCCACATGATGTGACTAAAGACCCCACGGGATGCAACTATTAATACAAGATCCGTGTGCTGCAACAAAGACCCACCACAGACACACAAACATTTAAGTACTACAGCAGATTCCATACTTCATGGTGATACACCGAAAGGCTATCCCTGAGATCAGAAATAAGGAAAGGACTCCTGCTGTTACAACTTCTAGTAAACACTGGGTTGAATGTCCCACCTGGTGTCCCGAGGCAACAAACAGAAACCAAAGGGTCAGGAACTGGAGAGGCAGACAGAAAGTGGTCATCTGCCAAAGGTATGAGGGTATATGCAGAAAGTCCAGGAAGTCTACAACCTTCCAGAATTCAGGAACTTTAACATGGTCACAGCCACAAAATCAACTGTAATTATAACTGAAAGCACAAATCATGAAAGAAAAAAATTAGAAGATGACTTCATTAACTTAAAAACATTTACATTTTATAAAGGACTGGCATAAAAAACATACAAAGAACTCTTAAAACTCAACAATAAGGAAAAGAAACAATTAAAAATGAGCAGAAGACCTGAAAAGACACATTACCAAAGAAGATAAACAGGTGGCAAGTAAGCCCATGAGAAGCGTCATCAGGGAAATGCAAATCAAACAAGAGCCCAGGCTGCACCTGTGAGAACGCCCGAGCACAGAGGGCGTGGACTCACACCGCTGAGAATAAAGCAAGGTGAACCAGGAGAAAGAGGAGCAGGAGAGGAGACGCTGCTCTTATTGAAAATGGGAAGCGCCTCTGCTTCCCGCCTAGACACAGGGGGACGACGCGGAGGCCCCGTTTCTGTTTCTAGGAGGGCGCACACCCAGGGCGCCGCCTGCTGCTGACCCCTGGCGGCACTAGGTGGTAGGTCCACCCTGACTTCCCGCGAGTCCCTCTGAACAAAGTCTACAGGCGGCGGGAGAGGCTCGCTCACCGTGATCATCGAGGAGAATGTTCTCAGGCTTTAAGTCCCTGCAAAGGAAGGAAACAACAGCACAAAGTCAGTGATTTGGGGCGCCACACTGGACTCCATCGGTTCCAGCAGGAAGACCCGCAGACAGATCCGCGCTCTGAGCGGCGGCGAGCCGGCAGGTAACGGCGCCTCCGTCTGCAGGTCCGTGGGAGGCCGCGTGTTGCCACAGGCTCCAGTGGCCACGAGGAGGAGGGGGTGGCTCTACAGACGGCGGGTTTCGCAGGAGACGATCCAGCCGTGAAACGTCAGCCCGGCGGTGAGGAGTCAGTCCTTGACGAACTCGGCTCCATTTCTCACCATTAACAGACTGTCAGGAATGTCTACGACTGGAAATCCCCCTTACGAGAGGAGTTCGGTTTCAGGGTCAGATCCTGGCTCTGCCCGCCATCAGCAACGTGGCCTCCCCGTCCTCACCTCGATGGGCCCATGCGCAGCACCTGCTTCCAGCGCTGGGCAGCATCCAGGGAGGCCAGGCCTTGTGGCAGGAGCGTGTGACCCACGGCACTGACCATTTATCACAGTTCACTGCCAACTAGGGCAATGCCACGAACTTCAAACACGTGTGTGTGTCACCAAAGACTAAAATATCTAAATGTGCTATCTCAAGCTACTTGTGTTTTTCCCTTAGCAAGAAAAAAACCCTAGTTTTCAGAGGATTTATATTTAGCTCTGACTTCACGTGTGGTCCTGTCACACTGACCCATCTCACTCAGCACGGCCCCTCCGTCTGGAGCCATGTCTCCAGAACCGGCAGAGGAGACCGAGGTCAGCAGAACGGAGCTGCCATTCCGAGGGGCTGGTCCCAGGAGAGTCCCGCAGAACCTGGTGCCAGCTCAGGGGGCGGGGGGCTGCAGATGCTGAAATGCCCTGGGGTCGAAACCACAGGCCCAGGAGACCAGAAGGAGCACGTGGGCGTGGGGCTCTGCGTAGACATCCTTCCTGGGAAGACGCCCCGACACTGTCGCTGGTCTCCCTGGGAGCAGAGGGGAGAATGGGCGCCCTCTGCCTGCCCTGCCCAGCCACGGGCAGTCTGGTTTTGCCTGCCCTGCCCAGCCACGGGCAGTCTGGTTTTTCCTCTGTATTTAAAGAGTCCTGGTAAATGCTGTCGACAAGGTAACCCTTCTTGACACAGACGTTCACAGGCACAGCCACACGCACAGGACAGCCGCCCGCCTGCCTCACCTCAAACGCCTCACCAGGCACCCTGAAGCCCCACTGCTCCAGGCAAGGCCAGCACTGCTCCAGGGCAGCCAACCCAGGGCCCAGCCAGAGACCCACCGGCTTCTGGCCACCTCCTTGCCTGGTGTGAGAAGCTGCCCTAAAACACTCCCACCGCCTCTGCACTTGGCTGTCAATCAACCACCAGTCACCTGCTCCGAAAGGAGACACGCAGTATATACTGCACAGAATAATAACAAGAGTAGCAGTAACAATGGGCTTCCCAGTGGCGCTAGTGGTGAAGAACCTGCCTGCCAATGCAGGAGAAGCGGGTTCAGTCCCTGGGTTGGGAAGATCCCCTGGAGGAGAGCATGGCAACCCACTCCAGCATTCTCACCGGACAACCCCACAGACAGAGGAGCCTGGTGGGATAGAGTCCATGGGTCTCGAAGAGTTGGACACGGCTGAGTGACGGAGCACAGCAGTCACGCCATCAGCACCTCCTTCAGTGTGCTCACTGGGTACCAAGGCATGTGCTTAAGCATTTTGCACATGTCTCCTGGGACGATCACAGCGTCTCTGGAGGCTGTTTAGACACTCTTGGGGTGTAGGTGCCACACTTAGGGTGCAGCCATGTCACTGGATCACTCGGATGCCAGGTGACAGGCTGGGACCAACGCCAAAGCATCGTGCCCACACCCTGCTCTGCCGCACACCCTGGGCATCTGCCAGGGCAGAGCGCCGCAGCTCAGGTTACAAAGTGCTGTCCTCTCTCGCGCCTCCCCTCAAAAACCACTTCCCCAGGGAGCAGCCTGTGGCCCAGTGGCTAAGACTCTGAACTTCCACGCAGGGGCCCTGAGGCTCCATCCCTGGGAGGGAAACAGACCCCACACACATCCAATGCCCCTGCCTTCCACTGCTGAGGCCTGGCGCAGACAAAACACATAAAATACAAACATTCGAAAGTTTAAAAAGCCCGTCCTGTGTGCCTCTTCTTTTCTGACTTTGGAGCTGCTAAAATAGGAGAGCATTTTAATTTGTACCACCTCTGTGCAAAGAGGGGAGAAGGCAATGGCACCCCACTCCAATACTCTTGCCTGGAGAACCCCAGGGATGGGGGAGCCTGGTGGGCTGCCGTCTTTGGGGTCGCACAGAGTTGAACACGACTGAAGCGACTTAGCAGCAGCAGCAGCAGTGCAAAGAGGAAGACACTCTCTCTAGGACCTGGTTTGATGAGACCTGTCAGTGGTGGTCTCTGAGGAAAGGTAAGAGGGCACGGGACCTTCCCCATGAAGGGCCTTGGAGGCGGGACGGACCATCAGAGCCCAAAGGTCATGGCTGGTTCACCCAAAAGACGCTTGGGGGGCGCCTCCTGATGGCAGGTGTCGTGGACGCAGTGGGCACGAGGCAGACCTGCTCAGCCAGAGGGCATGCGGGAGCCCAGGGCAGAAGGCTGGGGAGCGGAACCTTCTGACCAGCGCAGGGAGTGCGTCTCAACACCAGAAGCAGGCCAAGGCAGCTCGGCCAGATTTAACTGTACCAAGCTCACTTCCTCCAGCAGCCACGTAGGAATCAGAGCTCCTCCAGGCCCCCTGTAAGTCCCAGAGAAGCAGCCCACGCCCCCACCTTCTGCACAACTCATGGTGGGTGGGACCGTCATCCATCAGCCCAGCTTGCTGGGAGCTGATCCTCAGGAAATACTCAACTTGGCTCTGGGCCATGAAAGATAAAGAAGAAAAATCACATCAGAACTGGGATGGAGAGGAGGAAGGTCTTCAAGGAAGCTGGTCAGCCAGGGGGACCGGCCCCAGGGTGGGCAACATGGAGCAATCTGAGGACCAGCCAGGGGAAGGGGCTTCTAGGAACTGCCCGTCTGTGCACTAATTCTGCATGACAGCGGGAGGAGCCTGGGAAGAAAGGCCTCCAAGAGGGCAGATGCATGAGCAGGGCAGGAAAGACAGGAGGACGCCCGACAAGCTCCGGGAGAGCAAGCCCATCTGAGGAGGACCTGAGGAGTGGCCTCAGCCACTGACCACGGAGAATAGAGAGGAATCATAGAAATATGCAGGACTGATTTGGGAACCAGGCTCAGGGAGGAGGTGGGCTAGAGGGGGAGGGGCAGGCAGAGCCCTGGGGGCTGAGAAGGCCAGCCGGACGCACCCACTCGGAGACGTGCACACGGCCCGCAGGTGGGCGCACTGGGCCGAACACAGGCAGTGGCCTGGGGGTGGCCCTGAAGTGTCAGCGCCCAGGGCACCAGCTTCTACAGGTGGCGGAGGGACCACTGTCCCTGAAACCGAGATTTATTCATCACACAAATCTAACTCTATCTACGGCATTTAATTTTCTCTACTGAATTCTAAGATGAAAAGAGTATTAAATAAGTACAATTATTTCAGAACATTTGTTATTTTGTTGGAACATCGTCCCCAGTCCTCAGTGGAACTGTCAGAATGTCTAAGAACCTTGGAAACGGGTTCCTCTCGTGCTTGTGAGCAGCATGACCAACTTAAATGAAAAGTACTTACCAGAAATAGAAGAGAACTAAAAAGAAACCCAAGGTCTGCCCCAGATCGGCCATACTTCCAGCACGGTGACGGCGCGGCTGGGCCGGGGCTCCCCACCGGCCCCCCAGCCCCCGCCCCCGAGTGGCCCCGGGGCCCTGCGCGCCTACCTGTATACGATGCGCTCCCGCTGCAAATCCTCCAGGCCACAGCACAGCTCGGCCGCGTAGAAGATGGCTCTCTGCTCCTCGAAGCCAGGGTCGCCCAGGTTGTAAATGTGAAACTTCAGGTCCCCTCCGTTCATGATGGTTAGCACCAAGCACAAGGACTTTTTGGTTTGGTATGTGTAACATAAACTAACCTGAGGACAGCAGCAGGGCAGGAAACAAAATGCAAGAGCCTGCTCGTTCACTGGGATGTACTCTACTGGCAAGCAATAATGAGAACACCAAGATGCTGCCTGCTTTGGGGGAGAAGTACGCCGTGCACCATCTCAAACCTCTACCTGATGAAGAATCTAACAGCTGCCCGGCGTGGAAAGCAGAGCACTTCCTAAGTGCGTGCGTGCTCGGTCGCGTCCAACCCTGTGAGCCCATGGCCTGTAGGCCGCCCGGCTCCTCTGTCCACGCAATGTCCCAGGCAAGAACACTGGAGTGGGTTGTCATTTCCTTCTCCAGGGGATCGTCCCCACCCAGGGATCAAATTTGAGTCTCCCACGTCTCCTGCAGTGGCCAGTGGATTCTTTGCTGCTGAGCCCCTGGGGAAGCTGTGTCTAAGCAAGCAAGCGCCAACCTTCACAAAGAACCTGGCGTGGCGCCCCTGGAAGCTACATCCTAATTGTTGGGCGCCGGCACTCCACACTCGCAGACTGTCTGCGTTCAGCGTGGAAGTCAGACGCCTCCGGCAGTGCAGGAGGGGTCCAGAGCCGCTCGATTCTTCCAGCATTTGTGTCACCAGTCACACCCTGGAGGTGCGGCTCCTGTGGTCTCACCTCTGTTATGTGCACACATAGGGGATACGTCCCAGATGTGCCCATATACTGATTTTGTGAGCCTCTCTCATGAAGTGCCTGTTCAAGCTCTTCACCCCCTTTCCTGGGGGTTTGCACGTCAGTTTACACCCATGAGTACACGCACACACGCCCTTCTGGGATTCTGGCTGGGGCTGCATTTCACTCATCTTACTGCCATCACAGCCCTGAGGCTCCCAGTCTATGAACAGGGCACCCCCACCGTTTGCATAGGGCATCTTTAAGTTTTTGTAAATAGTGTTTTACAGTTTCCAGTGTAGAAGTCTTGCACATTTCATTGGATTTTTGCCTAGATTCTGATGTTTCTTAATGCAATTGTAAATGGTTTCAATTGAAGTTTTTCAAACTGTTTTCTAATTGGTGCCATATCTAATAACCTGGCCAAATTCTCAACCAGTTATCTAGAGAGTCTTGGACTGCCTATACACACAGTCATGTTGTGATGGGGGGTTGGGGAGGGGCTGTGGGGAGGAGAAGGAGATGAACTCGACAGAAGTACCAGTCAGGACCCCCTCAGATGGGCCGTAAGCAGGAAGTAAGGAAGAGAATCAAGGGCAAAGGAAAGTATTTCCAGGATCCTGGCGAGAGGCCAGGAGTACAGAAACCAAAATATTGTATTTCAGTAGAATAAACCATAACTATTATCTATGTCCCTTTCACAGCGCTAGACTAGATTTTGGGGTTTGGAGGTAGTTACACAAATATGTTTAAAGCGACTCTAAGATGAGCCCGTTTTATCAAAGGTTTGTACATGTACATAGATTGTAAAGCATGTACATAGGCTGACATGTCACACACGTAAACCCTTGCTATTAAACGAGGCGACAGCTCTGAAGGCCTGTCTGTCTTGGAAGCTTTGTGCCAGCACAATGCCGCTGACCTCAAAACTGAGAAGTGAATGACACCATGCAGCCTTCTGTAAGCTGCCTTTCCCTCTCTTCCTTAAACATATAATTAGGTGGAGGAAGCAGCTGTGGAGATGAAAACACCGCTACTTAATGCACAGCCTGGACCCAGGACCCCTGGGCTCAGCCCTGACCCACACAGGGAGGGTGGAGTCAGGCCTCACACACCTGGGTTCGCTGGCTAAGGGCGAGTAATGACCCAGAAAGAGGGCGGATGCAGGCACGGACGAGGCCCGAGTGAGGGGTTGAAGCATCTTCAGGTCTCTCACCCATCTGGGGCCTCAGCCAAGCACAGCGTGAGCCCACCTGCTGATGCCCCCAGAGGGCAGAGGGTCGGTGCCAGACCGGGGGGTGGGGACAGGAACAGACTCATCACAAACCGCCAGTCTGTGTCCAGGGAGGGTGGGCAGGACAGTGGAGGGCTGCTCCTGCAGTGCTCCCCGCCAGCGGCTGGGCAGCGAACCCCGCACACGCTTGGCTAGGACGGGCTTGTGTCCAGCGGCAGGCGCACTGGACAAAGGCCACTTGCCCAGCTCCCCATCCCCGGGAGGACAGAGGAGATACTTACTACAAACCTACTGTGCACTTTCTCTAGGATCCTCTTCTCATTTAGGGCCATGGCCTCCCCCTTCCTCCTCTTTATCCTTTTCTTCTCTAGCTTCTTACAGGCATACATTTTTCCTGTAGCTCGCACTTGACAGGCACAAACCTAGTTTTTGGAAAAAAACAGCAGTTCATATGCACTCGGCAGTTCTCAGGCCACCAAGAGAAAAGAGTGTTCTCCGTGACAACTCCCCTGGTCAAGAGCAGCAGGGACTCTGTGGAGCCAAGACCACGGCCGTCACGGCCGCGGCTGGGTCCCCGTGGGCGCCGCCCTCTGACCCTCGGGTCCTTGTTTAAGAAGGGAGCTTATGAACCTATCACAGTGATGGCAGAACTTGCTCTGTGAGATCCTGCTGCATCTGCTTAAATATGTCTCCCTGTGTCTTTCTACTTTCTGTACAAGAATGAAAGTTTTTGACAGTAAATATTCTTGATTACTTTTAAAATTCAAGAATACGTGTATTTCATAGAATCCATAGACTTTCATACCTTTATTTTACTTAATTAGTTCTTAAAGTAATATTTATATGTCGCTTCACATCATGAAAACTTCCAAACAAAGGTAAGCGAGAGAGCAGTGCAGTGAGGCTCCCGGCTGCCAGCCTTCCCTGGTGGCTCAGTGGTAAAGATCTGATTGCCGACGCAGGAGCTCTAGGAGACATGGATTCGACCCCTGGATCAGGAAGACCCCCTGGAGGAGGAAGTAGCACCCCACTCCAGCACTCTTGCCTGGAAACTCCCATGGACAGAGGAGCCTGGCGGGCTAGAGTCCACGCAGTCGCAGAGTTGGACACAGCTGAGCAACTGAACAGCAACCACCAGCCTTCCAGCTTCCAGGCTATCCACACAGGCTGTCAGGGTTCCGCTGACTGCCACCCGCCCCACACCCCAGACACACATGCCCCACATCTGCACACACACATGCCACACACATGTGCACAGAGGATTACTTAATTTTTTAAATTTTAACTAAATTAATTTTACATATTTATTTATTTGGCTCTGCCGGCTCTTAGCTACAGCATGTGGGATCTCTGTTGCATCATGCAGGATCTTGAGGTGGGACATATGAAATCCAGTTCCCTGGCCAGGGATTGAACCTGGACCCGCTGCATGGGGAGCACCGAGTCTTAGCCTTGGACCACCAGGGAAGTCCCCCAGAGGATCACTTTAAAAGCAAATATAAGTCATGATACAATTGTATCCATCAACCCAAATAATTCTGATGGTAAAATATAAACCTCATTGCGGAAAATATTGAAAATATTAATAAAGACAATGATAAAACACCTAAATTCTAAGACAACTATCACTGATACTGCACTGCATAAGCTTCAAAGTGCCCCCTTTATACATATATATGCAAGGATATATAGCTTGCTCCCCCACAACCTCTGGCTTTTAGGGGAAACTGGGCTTATGTTACAGAACAGATAATAATTTATATTCTTTTTCCATCTTACTGTGTGACCATCTTCTCATCATTAAACGTTCTACGAATATGTGACTACTCCAAAACGCATTTCATCCTTTTCCGACCACGAAGCACTGGCACATAGTCCTTGCACATCTCTTATCATGCACTGAAGACAGAGTCCTTCCAGTGGAGCTGCCAAGTCAGAGGGCGAGAAGGGAGAAGAGGCGGGGTGCCAGGCACTGCAGCCGCTCAGCTGCTCCTCACGGCGATGGTGAAGCAGGGCTCACGACCCCTCTGCAGGCTCCCTGATCGCACAGCTGGAAGCTGAGGCACAGCAGCTTGATCTCAGGGTGTGTGGGTCCCAAGGACGTGCTCTCTACACCATCTGCCATGCAGGCAGGGATGCTCGCCCGGCCCCTGTCCACTGCGCCGGGCTCAGAACCCACCAGGGCTGCCTGGAGGACTCAGGGCTGATGTGAAAGCACTGCTGTTGACCAAATGAGACCAAAATGTTGGCCGTTCACACCTCCAGGAGAGGCGCCAGCATTTGGCAAAGGTAAACACACTACTGGCATTTGGACTGAAAGGGCCCCAGGCGTCTGCCTTAGTCACAGGGTTCTAACTGGCTAACTGGTTCTAACTCTCATTCTCGAGAGAAATGGACAGTCCACTGACTCCCGCCCCATGCCTGATGCAGTGCAGCACTCCCAGAACACGTCTGTGAAAAGCCACAGCCGTTTATTTGTCCTCCCAGCCGTTTGTCGGGAGCACAAGTCTATGTGTTAAAAAAGTGCTGTATAAGATCATATGCATACCGAGTCTTTTCACGACAGTGAAAACTTGCCAACATGTTCCTGCTGAGTCCATTGTTAAAACCTCTGTGTGGCCAGACCAGGGGCTTCACTGCTTTGTAGACACAAGAGCCGAGTGCTGGAAGCTTCCTTCCTCTGCTCCTCACGAAGTCCGAGCTCTGTCCCTGGAGGCAGTGTGGGACAGGCGGCATGGACCGAGCGCTCTGGAGGCGCGTCAGGAGACAGACTCCTCGCAGACACAGACGCGTCTCCCGCAGAGGGCCTGCCATGCCGCGGTGGGGCTCGCAGAGCACCAGGCGGCCTCCAGGACCTCAGCGGTCACCCTGCGGGCTCTCCCAAGGCTGGCATGCCGACCAGTCCCTCTCGCAGTCACTGCAAGTGGTGACAGGAGGCGCCAGCGGTGTGACTCCTCCCAGGCAGGCGCTGGCCATGGTTCTGGACTGGAATTTGGGAGCACACACCATGCAAATCGCAAGCAGACGGTGTGCCCAGCTCTGACGCGGCTCGGCTCGCCTGACTCTGGGACTTAGCAAGGCTTGAACTCAAACGACCGCTCCACACACTCAGCAGGGCCGTTAGCATCTCCTTCAGCTGCAGCACAGGGCGTGACAGGACCCTGCCCCTACCACACGGTCTCCAACCTCATTTATTGAAAACCAAACAGATTTTTATTGTCTACAAATATATATAAAAAAAATTCCCTCCCCAAAGATGCTATTCTCTCATTTCCCCATCTTCTTCTTCTTCTTCAACACCCCTGATATAAAGGACATTATTACACCTTATTAAAACTTCACCCAGATGTCCAGACAATGCTCCATCTATGTATTCTTCTGTGTTTGCAAGCTGCATGTTCATACAGCCATCTACAGACACCAGGTAGCCTTTGTACTCCATTCCCCATTTAAGCTTCACCATTACCGGCTTTCCTGTTAATCCGTTGAGGAAAGGTTTGGGGTTGAGGGGCAAACTCATCGCGACTACTGCAGCAGTAGTGGGGAAACGCTGTAGGCTACTCGCCACCGACGCAACTGTTGTGGGACCCTCGAGACTGAAGTAACCACACAGGGCTTTAAGAGAAATGGCCCTCCAACCCCATTTAAAGACCGTCTCTCGTGAACTCATGGGGAGTGTCTTTAGGATTTTCCCCAATTTCCATATTTTCTAACACCTTTCGAAGTAGGTATAAGGTACATACACATCCTTATTAAATAAGTTAAATAAGCATATTCAATAATATTTAATAAAATTTAGTAATATACCCTGTAGTATGTGCACTTCTAGGCTAGTCCTCAGTTATGAGAATGGAATGTCAGAAACTCCACCATATGGAAACAGAATAATCTTTTCAGTTGGGACAACCTTACTAAACTTGAACATTGATCACATGAGAAAACAACCTCTTTAAGAACTAAGAACTGACATGTAAAATCACAAAGATAGTGAATCATTCTCCCCACTGGATCTCTGAATTTTTTAAAAGTGTGTACCTTTTGTTCAAAGTTCAATCTTAATTCTCGTGGCTGCTAAAAGTATCCCTAAAATACACAGTAAAGAAATAACTGTATTGGTGGAGTCGAGACGCTACCTGAAGACCACGCCTTTCCAGAAGTACTGCTCACAGCTGTGAGGTTCGACTTACCTCTCCAAACCCGCCTTTCCCCAGGACTCTGTAGTGCCTAAATGTGCTCTTTGTCACTGGTTGCCTAATTAATGACAAGGAAAAAAGAAATCCTCAGCTCTCACATCACATTGCTATTTGGAAAGAGAAAAACCTACCTAGCCCCTGGCCTGGCCTGAGAAGGGGATGCTGGGGAGGGGGCCCAGGACCAGCTGCCTGTGCTCAGAGGGGTGGCTCCTCAGTGGGGCGGCTTTTAAGAGACAAGCACGTGAACGTTTAAAATTGTGAAGACTCTGAAGACAGACGCAGAATGACCCTGCTGCCCTCACTGCCTGAACGAAACACACGTCTGTGCCAGCCCCACTCTGAAACCTCTCTGTGGTCTCCTTGGCACAGCTCTCGGGGCCTCTCAGAAGGCTGGTGAGGGAAGTGACATTGACAGGGAGCTGCTCTTTGAAAAAGAACCTCAAAGGCAGTGTTGACACCGTAGCAAAAGAAACCTGTATGAGCTAGAACTGAAATTTAATAAATCAACAATCACTGTAACAGCAGCAGCACTGGTGGCAGCTAGCAGAGGATGAGATGGTCGGCATCACCGACTCAATGGCCGTGGATCTGAGCAAACTCCCGGAGCTGGTGATGGACGGGGAGGCGTGGCGTGCTGCCGCCGTGCGTGGGGACCTGCACGGTGCGCTCCCCGAGCACCTCTGCTGAGCGCCGGGCTCTGCGCTGAGTGTTCTACACCAGCAGTCCAGGCGGTGGCGGCGGCTTAGTCACCAAGTCGCGCCTGACTCTGCGACCCCGTGCACTGGAGCCCACCAGGCTCCTCTTGTCCACAGGACTTCCAAGAATACTGGAGTGGGCTGCTATTTCCTTCTCCAGGGGGTGGGTTCTATTTGACACAAAAAGGACCCAAAGCCCATGCAGGCCACATCACTGCCTGAGGACACACAGCTAGTAGGCGTCTGGGTAGAGGCTGAGATGGCAAAGACCCGAGCACCACAGCGGATTCTGTTTCTGTGAATCCAGGACATGGTTTACTGTCTCACGACGGCAGCAGCAGGGCTAACTGTCATTTTAACGAGAGAAAACAGAGCCCTCTGGATCAGGAGAAATTGTACAATATTAATAATGAGATTTCCAATGGCATTCTGACATACAGAAAGGTATACATCAGTCAAATGCAGTAATGGAAAAAAAAATGCAGTAATGGAAGTCACAATTCGTTTTCACTAAATGTCAGATGAGAACATACCTTTCCAGCCATTTCCACTGTAAAAATCGAGAGAAATATGCACTTTCTTGGTATTCTTCAAATGCTTCTTCACTTAAATGGTCATGGACAATTCTAGAAAGAGATTTTATGCAACTATGTATATCTGGCTGCAATACAAAATGAAGACAACTCTGTGATTTAATGCATGAGTGAGCGCTGAATATGGGAAAAACGAATCATTACCCATAATTCAGTATATTGAATTTTGCAATTACAGAATCTCACACCAGTTTCCAATGCTACCAGTGAAAACATGAACGCAAGAATTCAAAGGAAATAAAACCGATTTACCTTCTTAAAATCAGAGGTCCTTTTTAAGTATTAGAATATCAATGAAGTAATTACTTGATAAAAATAATCTCCCAGTATAAAAACAATAGTTTAAAACATACTCAAGCTGTGTATGTGTCTGCCTGCACTCATGGAGGCTCATGCATTTCAGGAGGAGAGGGAAACAGTCTGCAGTTAACATTAGTGTAAATGTACAGATGACAATAGTCATAGGGTAGAAACTGTTAATATGTGATGTCACCTTTTTTTAAATATTAAAAATAAAGCTCTCAAGGACTTCCCTGGTGGTACAGTGGTTAAGAATCTGCCCGCCAACGCAGGGGGCATGGGTTCAACCCCTGGTCCAGGAAGATCCCACATGCCGCAGGGCAACTAAGCCCGTGAGACACAGCGCTGAGCCCACAGGCTGCACTGCTGAAGCCCCAGCGCCTAGAGCCGGTGCTCCGTAACAAGAGAGGCCACCACCGTGAGAAGCCCGTGTGCCACAATGAAGAGCAGCCCCCTCCCTGCAGCTAGAGAAAGCCCCATGCAGCAAGACCCCGCAGAACCAAAGATAGTAATACAATTAACTGATTAAAGCACTCAGTACATTGTTTCGGAGAAGACAATGGCAACCCACTCCAGTCCTCTCGCCTGGAAAATCCCGTGGGCAGAGGAGCCTGGTGGGCTGCAGTCCACGGGGTCCGAAGAGTCGGACGCGACTGAGTGACTTGACTTTCCCTTTCATGCACTGGAGAAGGCAATGGCAACCCACTCCTGTGTTCTTGCCTGGAGAATCCCAGGGACGGCGGAGCCTGGTGGGCTGCCATCTATGGGGTCGCACAGAGTCGGACACGACTGAAGTGACTTAGCCGCAGCGGCAGCAGCAGCGGTATTGTTTGATGCTATACGTTTCTTGAAGAAATCTTCTGCAATGAGCCCTGCCTCTTAGGTTTACTGATGACTTTATGATAGTAGGAATACAATTGGTTCTTGGGGAGTAAGTGAGGGACAGGACATAGACTGCCCTTTAAAACAGCGCTGCCGTGGGTCAGCATCTACGGAGCCGACGCTAGGAGGACCATCCACAGGCCGTCCTGATGACTCTGACCTCTCAGTCAAGGAGACAGGTGAGTCGGCGTCCAGCTGGGGGACGGGGGTGGCCAGAGTCCTGCGGCTGCAGCGCACTGACCCCGGGTGGGGAGCGGAGGGGGACCGCCTGAGCTGCAGCGGCGTCACTGACAGAGAGGGAGCCGTCCCCCAGGCGTGGTGGAGTTGGCCTGGGAGTGCCCACGGCCCATCTGGGAGCCGCTAGCAGGTAGTGAGTGAGGACGCTGTGAGAATAATCCCAGCACCGCACTGGTTTCAGACTTCTGAGCAAGTCACTTGATTTGCTTCCCTTTATTTTGTAAAAAGAGGTTATTCAGATGTTCCTGGATTGACTGATGTTACAGCACAGCACTTCTCAACTTGTGTTCTGAGGCTCCCTCCTTCCGAGACCCTTGCAAGGGAGTTGGGGCTTCCCTTGTGACTCAGCTGGTAAAGAATCCACCTGCAGTGCAAGAGACCTGGGTTTGATTCCTGGGCCGGGAAGATCCCCTGGAGAAGGGACAGGCTACCCATTCCAGCCTGGAGAATTCCATGGACTATACAGTCCATGGGGTCGCAAAGAGTTGGACACAACTGAACGACCTGCACTTCAGAGGGAATTCAGTAATGACGCTGTGTTTATAGAAGCACTAAGTCATTCATTACCGTCTTAAAGTTTCATTCTCACGGAAGGGCTTACCAGAGGCCACACGCCAGGGGACCACATCCCTGCTCTGCAGGACAGCAGAACACCAGTGCCGTCACAACCCACATCAACACAGCTGTCTGTCAGGGTCACTGGGTGCTGAGAGGCCGCCGCTGCAGTCCTAGAACGGAGCCCGTCCTGGAGGCCAGGCCCTCACGCCTCCACGTGTGAGCAGTGGTGGCCCTACCCTGGGGCCCCTGTCCCTGGCGAGCACGTGGGCAGCTCAGCTCCAAATACTTGCGAACCAGTCAGGATTCTAACACTGTCCGCTCAGTTAATCCGCTTTATAAAGGTCCTTAGGTGTCTCCATGAAAGAACACAAACACTGCCTGATTCTAACTTGTTTGTCTATTTCACGGTCTGTATAAATTACTAAGGTCAACGACTAAGCCACCTTCCCAGGATCTCAACTTTACTTCCCAATACTCCTTGCCTCAAAACAACAGACTCTGCGCCACTGCCCTAGTCTGGCACGTGAACCTGCTGCACACAGTTTGTAAGTATCATGACCCTGGAAACTGTGCATCAGCTCAGCACTGGTTTCTGATATGTTCACCTTCACGCTCCCACTAACCATCACGTGCGGACTCTCACCAGAGCTTCATGTGGGAGCCGTGGAGCAGAGAGGACTCACTTAGCTCACTACACAGGACCAGGATTCTGGGAACTAAAATGAGAAAGGAAGGTTTTGGGGAAATAAAGGCCGTAACAAGACGGGGATGAGGCAGAATAATAAGAACACAAGCTCCTAGAGGCCACACAATGTTGTGCTGCCGTCTCCAGTTATCCGATGCCACGTGCAGCTGATGGTAAATGACAGTTAATAAACATGTAGGAGTGAAGAGCCATCTGTCACATGAACTAATCAAATAGACAGATGCCTGAATACCAACACCTGTTTAAAGATTATCAGCTGTTATGCCTATCTCTTGCAATTTCTGCACAGAGCAGGCAGAATTTCTGACCAGTCTCTCCAGTCATGTGCAACTCCCATGGTTCTCAACTTCAGAACAGAGTTTCAACAGCAGAAGCAGGAAGGGGAAAGAAGGAGCCTCTCTGGGGTGCTCAGACACTCGGCCCTGCTGACGGCCTGCCTGCAGCTCCTGGCTCCTGGGTCGGCCTCGCGTTGCGGCCGCCCCAGGGAGTGCACTCGGGTCCCGTCGACAGTTAGTGGTTTCATAAATGATCAGCTGAGACAGAATCAACGCTTACTGACAACAACCACACCGTGAAGTATATGAAATGACAGGTCAGGGCACCCCCTTCGCCCCCATCAGTCTCGCTTTCCAGAGTGCTGTGTGTCAGCTGCCTCTTCTGACCATTCCTCTGTAGGGCCCCCAAAAGATGCCCATACACCCGAGTTCACAGCATTATTCCCGACACTGGAAACATGGGAACCACCCAAGTGTCCAGCAATGGTGGATGGACAAACACAGTGTGGTCCATCCAGACACAGAATATTATTCAGCTTCAAAAAAGAAAGGAATTCTAAGACCTGTTACCACGTGGAGGAACCTTGAGGACACTATGCTAAGTGACATAAGCCAGTCACAAAAAGAATATACTGTGTGATTCCACTTACATGAGGTCCCTAGACTAGTCAGATTCATAGACAGAAAGCAGATGGTAGGGGCCAGGGGCTGCGGGCAGGGGCAGAGGGAGTTAGTGTTTAATGGGGACAGAACTACAGTTGTGCAAGATGAAAACCACCCAGGAGACAGGCGGTTGTGATGGTGTGCACGCACGTCAGTGTGAATGTACTTTACTGAACTGTACACCTTGAAATGGTTATGATGGGAAATTTGCTTTTTTTAAATTGCAATTTAAATGTAAACACATATACTCAGAAATAGACACATTTCCCCGCCTCACAGAAATGGTATAAATACACGTGTAGTCTGGTGAGTACATGCTGACACCCACAGAGCTACCCTGCTTCCTCAGTGACTGTATGGCTCCCAGAGCACAGGCTTCTGCCCCCTCAGCCATTCCAGGTGCCAGTTCTCTCCACGCAAACACCGCTGCATGAACCTTTCTGCAGCTGTGCTTTATAAGGTAGGTTCCTAGAAGGAGAAATACCAGCCCAAAGGGTACACACATTTAAAACACTGGCATTTATTGCAAGACTGCTCTGCAAAAAGGCTCTAGGAGTCCACATTCTCACCAACATCCCCACACACCAGCTTCCCACTCTCCTGACCCTCATGCAGAGGATTCTGGAAAAAGAAAACACACAGCAAAACTGCTGTCCTGATTTATTGGAAAAAAAAGAAATACACAGAACACATTCAACTGTACATTGAACCGACTGATTCCCGGCTGTGGGGTAGCTGAATAACTACAATACAACTTTTTGTTTTCTATAAATCAAAGATGCTGAACTATTGATAGGCATATACAAGAAGTAAACTCACATTTCCCCCCAAAACCAATAATACTGTTATAGCTAATAATGATTTATAGCTGTCATTCAAATTGCCTAATACAAGTGATATGTTATGTCATTTAGCCTCATAACGACCCAACGGAAGAGACTCAACCAACTACGGAACGTTCTGGTACAGCCCCAGAAACAGTAGTGGAGCCACGCCTGAGCAGTGTGCCCCCGAGACCACTCTCTTCCTGCGTGGTGACAATACGATGAGGATAAAGCTTGTTCACTCACTGACTCATCAAATACGCATTGCTCCAGGCACAGGGACAAACAGAAACAAGACAAAATTTCCAGAAGACAAAGCCATTAAATTCCAACACTTGTCTCAAAAATACACGTTTTACAGAAATAGCTCTTAGGGTTTTCCATAGTATTATTTACCCTCCTAAGGTCTCGATTTCCTGAAGCTAAATTAAACAGTAGGTTAATTCTATGAAGACTATTTAATGACTTACTCCAAACAGAGATCCTTCCCACAGTGTCTCAGAAAACACACTAACAGAAATTTATTTCCACAGGGAAAAAAAGCAATGCTCAGATCCCCCATGAGCAGAGTCGTGAGGCAACCTGAGTGTGGCAAGCTGAGGATGGTACCACTGGCCTGATACTAAGCACAAGGAAAGTGGAATAGAGATTGCTTCTGGGGCTTTAAATTAAGGAACAATACTTATTTTTCAGGAAAGGTAATTGCCAGGGAAAACTACCAAATGACCCAGTGCCTTGTTTTAAAGTTTTAGACAATGAGAACTCTGATGGGAAAGTCCACTGGTGGGGAAGGAATGGGGGTAGATTTTGCAGATATATGCTTATTATCCTCTGTTAAATGATCCAACCACTTCATCCTGAAGGAAATCAGTCCTGAATATTCACTGGAAGAACTGATGCTGAAGCTGAAACTCCAATACTTTGACCACCTGATTCCAAGAACAGACTTGTTGGAAAAGACCCTGATGCTGGGAAAGATTGAAGGCGGGAGGAGAAGGGGACGACAGAGGATGAGCTGGTTGGATGGCATCACTGACTCAATGGACATGAGTTTGAGTAAACTCTGGGAGTTGGTGATGGACAGGGAGGCCTGGCGTGCTGCAGTCCATGGGGTCGCAAAGAGCGAATGAACTGAAAAATACAAATCTTCATTATTTTTTAAAAATTGCGTCGTCTTCCTATTGTTGAACTGTAAGAGCTGGTTGTGTATCTTGGATTCCTGCTCCTCATCTGACACCGGACCTGCACATATCTCCCCCACTCTACAGGCTGCCTTCTCTCCTTCACGGTGGTCTCTGAAGTACTGTATTTTGATGAAGTCTAGTTTGTCTGTTTTTTCCTTTTGTTGCTGTCCTCTCGAAGTCACGGATGAGAAACCACTGTCTAAATTGAGGTCATGAAGCTTTGCACCTGAAGTTCTACAGCTAAGATTCACACCTGAGAGGTTTCTTCTAGAATAGTATGGTGTTCACATTCAAGTTACCTTTTGTATACAGTATTAAATAAGGGTCCAACTTCCTTCTTCTGCACATGGGTACCCAGCTGTCCTGGCACCATTTATGGAAAAGACTCTCCTTTCCCCAAATGAATAGTCCTGGCAGCCTTACTGTAAGTCAGCTGACGGCTTCCAGACTCTCAGTTCTATTCTGTTGATCTATAAGTCTGTTCTTACGCCAGGACCATATTGTCCTGCAGCTTTGTAGTGAAGCTTTGAAATTGAGAGGTGTAAGTCCTCCAACTTTGTTTTTCTTTTTTAAGGTTGTTGTAACTATTTGTGATCCTTTCAGTATGTGTATGAATTCTAAGATCTACTTGTTAATGTCTTCAAAAAAAGGAAGTTAAGATTTTGTTACAGATTATATTGAATCTACAAATCAATCTTAAATCTTCTAATCTGTGAATACAGGATTTCTTTCCATTTTATTACAGTTCTGCTTTACTTTCTTTCAATGATGTTTTGAAGTTTTCAGTGTATTAAAGGTTGCACTTTTTTTGTTATAAACAATTACTGCTAACTCTTCTATTCTTTTTTATGCTATTGTAAATGGAGTTGCTTTAATTTCATTTTTGGTCTTTAAATGATAGTGTATAGAAACACAATTGAATTTTGTTTAGTGATCTAGTATCCTGCAACCTTGCTGAACTCATTTACTAGCTCTCGCAGCTTTTTTTCTCCCTAATGTGTATAAACACTCAAGATTTTCTATATACAAGTGCTGTGATCTGAATGTGTGCCCCAAATACATATGTTGAATTCCTAACCCCCAAAGTGATGATACCGGGAAGCAGACCCCTTAAGAGATGCTTAGATCAAGAGGATGGAGCTCCTGTGAGTGGGGATGGAGTCTTTATAGCAGAGGCTCCAGAAACACCTCACACCTTTTCCACCACACAGCAAGGAGGTGCTGGCTATCAGCTTCCAGACCTGTAAGCAAAAAATTCCTGTTGTTTGTAAACCATCCTGCAGTGTGAGGTCAAGTGGGCCTTAGGAAGCATTACTACGAACAAAACTAGTAGAAGTGATGGAACTCCAGCTGAGTTATTTCAAAGCTTAAAAGATGATGATGTGAAACTGCTGCACTCAATACGCCAGCAAATTTGGAAAACTCAGCAGTGGCCACAGGACTGGAAAAGGTCAGTTTTCATTCCATTCCCAAAAAAAGGGCAATGCCAAAAAATGTTCAAACTACCACACAGTTGCACTCATCTCACATGCTAGCAAAGTAATGCTCAAAATTCTCCACATGAGGCTTCAACAGTACCTGAACAGAGAACTTCCAGACGTACAAGCAGGATTTAGAAAAGGCAGAGGAATCAGAGATCAAATTGCCAACATCTGCTGGATCACAGAAAATCAAGGCTATATATTGTCACCGTGCTGTTTAACTTATATGCAGAGTACATCATGCAAAATGCCAGGCTGGATGAAGCACAAGCTGGAATCAAGATTGCCCAGAGAAATATCAATAACCTCAGACATGCAGATGACACCACCCTAATGGCAAAAAGTGGAGAGGAACTAAGAGCCTTTTGATGAAGGTGAAAGAGGAGAGTGAAAAAGCTGGATTAAAACTCAAAGTTCAAAAAAGTAAGATCATGGCAACTGGTCCCTTCACTTCATGGCAAAGAGATGGGGAAAAAGTGGAAACAGTGACAGACTTTATTTTCTTGGCTCCAAAATCACTGTGGATGGTGACTGTAGCAATGAAATTAAAAGACACTTGCTTCTTGGAAGAAAAGCTATAATAAACCTAGACAGCATACTAAAAAGCAGAGATATCACTTTGTTGACAAAAAGTCTGTATAGTCAAAGCCATGGTTTTTCCAGTAGTCACATACAGACTGTGAGAGTTGGACCATCAAGAAGGCTGAGTATGAAATAATTGAACTATGGTGCTGGAGAAGACTCTTGAGAGTCCCTTGAGAGCCTGCAAGGACATCAAACCAGTCAATCCTGAAGGAAATCAACCCTAAATATTCATTGGAAGGACTGATGCTGAAGCTTAATCTCCAATACTTTGGCCACCTGATGTGAAGAGCTGACATTGGAGAAGACCCTTATGCTGGGAAAGACTGAGGCAGGATAAGGGGGTGACAGAGGATGAGATGGCTGGATGGCACGTGAGTCTGAGCAAACTCCAGGAGATAGTGAAGGACAGGGAAGCCTGGTAGGCTGCTGTTCATGGGGTCGCAGAGAGTCAGACACAACTGAGCGACTGAACGACGACAAAAGCAGGTGTTTGCTGCCCCCCCCGCTTCCACACTTGCTGTGTCAGCCAGGATGGCTCTCCAAGTTGCGTCTTTCTCCTTGACAGCTTCCCTTGCTGTTTGAGTTTTTCTTCAGAAAAGGTGAGGAAGATGAAAGAAATTAACAAAAAAGATTTAAAAGCTACACAAATGAAACCTTCTTCTACAGCTCCCAGTGGACTGTCTAGTGGGCACAAAAATATTCCCACAGTGAGTGTGAGTGGCAGAGATGATTCAGACCCAAATGGGCTTTGACTCTAAAGTAAAATGGAGTCATTTCATTACTTACTTATTCCAACTAAGTAAACATGGCTATGTGCTCTAATTATTTAAGTCATTTACAAATCTTTATGCTAAAGAAGAAAACGCACCTTTCCCCTGAAGAATGTGTCCAAGGCCAGGAGCCCACAGCGTCTTCGGTCCTCATCAGCGGCCACTTCATATTCTGCCTGATTGCAGAGATGACACAAAAGAAAAATGTTAGTTAAGCTTCTTTGTGGACTTTGTAATGTTTCAAAAATCCTCTGACTTGTGGAACTGACTTGGTGCCTTGAGAACCAGTGAGCAGCTCTATTGATCAAGTATCTGCAGCTCTTCTTTGGGAAACTGATGGCCATGAGGGGAAAAACTGGCTTATTTTCAAAGGATCAATAATGTAATAAAGCAACACACACCACAATGCTCCCTATATCATATTGTATTTTCAGCCCTCAAATGTGGCCAAACAAAATGGAGCAAGGTGAACCACCTGGGCTGTTCTCGGCAACGGCGCTTTAGGAAAGCCCAAGAGGCACTTGGACACCTGTGTGCAGTGCTCCCAAGGGAGTCAGTCCGCAACACCTGAGTGGGCGCCATTCACAAACACGTGTCAGGGATCAACCGAAGGGCAGGCGACAGCATGCAGGCGAGAAAACAAAGCCACAGGCAGCACCTCTTCAGTATCTAAACCCCCATCGAGGATGAGCAAGGAACAAGGAATGGGAAGACGGAGAAGAGAAAGAGAGACAAGGGGGAGATCGCCAAGGCTGAGATAAGAGAATTTCAACAAGTTGTTCTGCAGCGTCCCCAGCCAGGGAGACAGGAGGATGCAGAGGCCTCATGAAGCCCAAGTTCTGCAAGTGGGACCCTGAAGAGCAGTGAAGCTGAAAGGCAGATGGGAGTTGAGAGAGGTGGGGAATGAAGACCCAAGGAGGCTGCTCTACTGAACACATGGAGAGGACTCCAGGACGAAGGGCTGCGTGTCAGCATCCAGCCCCCTCCCTCCTCTGCTCAGGCCTGGCACAGGGCCCGGGACCTAGGCCAGCTGCCCTCCCAGAGCCGACTCCACCCTCTCTGTTCAAAGGCATCACGCTCACCAGCACACTGACCGGCACACTGTTTACTCACAGACTGCTCAACTCAAGTTCTAGGAGCTCTGGATACGATACGGTGGACAATCGATGGGAAAGGAAGTGTTGTGATTCTGTGATGGCCTCTGACGTGCCAGTCAGACTGGCAACAATCTCCAGTTACTCAAACACTAACCCAGTGTTGCTGGGTATTTGTAGACGTGACCAGAGTTCCTCGTTCAACGAGTCAAAGGCCTTTCAAGCAGAGCTGAGGCTTCCTCGAGAAGTTCTGCCTGAGGAGAGCAGCTTCACCCACTGCTGGGGAGGCCTGTCCTGTCCTTCCTGATGGATTTCCCACCTCCAGCCGGATCACAGCATCATGGATGCTGATTCCTTGCAATAAATCTCTCAGCATATCTGCTACCGCTTCCACATCTTTCCTCGGCCCCTGACTGATACAGATGGTGTAATTCATTCAGCACACAATGAGCGGGGAACAGAGCGAACCACCATGTCCGCGGCCAGGAGAAGGAAGAGGATAAGACGCCACCTGCCCACTCAAGGAGCTCAAAGAACGTGGCCTCACCCACCACAAGGGGAGTCGGAGCTGCAGTGAGGCGTGGTGGCATACACAGGTGTGGCTCATGCACCCACGAGGCTACCGGCGAAAAACTAATCCTGCCGCCACGGCTAGCAAGCCAGGCACCTACCAACTAAAGGGCTCATGATTTATCAGAAGATTCAGCTGTACACCTAAAACTAACACAGCATTGTACATCAACTACAGTCCAATAGAAAATAGAAAGTTTTAAAAAGGAGGCATGCATGCTCAGTCACTTCAGTTGTGTCCGACTCTGCACCACCCTATGGGACCATAAACCGCTGGCGTCCCCTGCCCGTGGGGTCTCCCAGGTAAGAACACTGGAGCGGGCTGCCACGCCCTGCTCCAGGGGACATTCTTGACTCAGGGATTGAACCCATGTCTCTTACGTCTCCTGCACTGGCAGGCAGGTTCCTTACCATGAGCGCAACCTGAGAAGCCTTAAAAAGGAAGCTCTGACTGCCTCCCTCCCAGCCATCTCTCAGCCCAGTCCAGGCACCAGTAAAGAGCGGCCGGGGAACTCCCGGAGGAGGAGCAAGCAACAAAACAGGCAAGGGCCCCGTACGGTTTTCTGAAAGAATACATAGAGCTACATAATTTTTAAAAGCTAAGAGGAAAAAATGAATAAAATCCCCATGATACAGGATAGTACTCTGCACACAGTATGAAGTCAACACACATTTGCTGATGTGACTAGGACAGGCCAAAGCCGAGAGGGCAGTGTCATAATCGGGGCACAGCTAACTAATGGTTAGAGAGCTGTTCTATTAAACGCTGCCGACTCTCCGTTACGCTGCCTCTGAATTTTACAGTTTCGAAGCTTCTAGTCTTGCCAGTGCTACCTCCATGGTTTCAGAAACACAGCATCTCTTCACCTGGAAGATCAGGGTAAACGTCGAGCTGGAGACACAGAGACATTAGGCAGACTTAGAAGGACAGTCAATTCCATTCGCTGTGACCCTGCATCCTACACCTGCTTTCTTCCCTGTGTGTGCTCTGGGCGGAGGCGTCTCCAAGTACTCAGGACGACTGGAGGCGGCGGCTCTACAAGCGCTGCCTGCACCAGCTCTTCAGCCTTCTTAGAAGGGAAAGCGGCGTTTCAAAGCTACGGCGTTTCAAAGCTACGTCGTAAACACCTTTGATTCTCCAACGCTTCAGAAGTAACCTGCACGAACTACTCCTTTATCCGCTTTAAACCGCTTTAAACCGACACAGCATGACACCAGGACGAGGTTATGCACTCGCACCTCAGCGCAAGGTCTAATCACTTAGCACGCTCTCAAGTTAGTTTCCAGTTCTCAAAAGCACAGGCTCCGGCGGTTCAACGCTGTGATAACCACTCACCACTGCATCCAGGAACTCAATCCGCTTCTTCAGGTCTTCTTTCGTGTCACAGAACTGCCTGAAGAGAAGTCTTCCGATCGGCTGCTTGTCACAGAGGCTGCTGTAATCCTTCTCTGGGTGGAGAGAAGACAGCAAACGCACATGCTTTTCTGAACCTCACTACTTTTACCTGATACAAGACACGTCAGAAACAGAATCCGCAGTATTACTATTGAAACCACAGTTCTGTTTACTAATTCACACTGGGTTATCATGAATATTTGATAAAGTGCCAAAGGCAGCTAGAAGAATGCATGAAGAGAGAAAGGTGTGTGGAGACAGACTGGGAGTTCCCTGCTCCCCATACAAAGGAAAGGGGGGTTTCCCGGGGAACCGAGGGGCAGGAAAGAGCGCTGGGTGGGTCCTTCCACTACACCACCCACTCCGTGTGTTAGGCACAAATTAAACGCATGTGAAATACACCACAGGAATATACTGCGTTAGATCTTTGAAAACTTGTTTTGATACATTTCTATTCTTTCCCAAGTTAACAAATATATTTTTAATGATTTTTCAACTGTTTTTTTTTTTCCCTCTCTGGTAGGATAATATATTGTATACCTTACCTTACCCCAAATATTATCTTGAGAACAAGGCACTAAAATTTGGCGAAAGTTGTCACGAGGGCTATAAGGCAAAATCGTATGTTCAAAATAGGTTTCTTTAAACTTCAGCAAGAAAATCAGTTGCTCTTTTAGCAGTGGCCCTGAACTTGAGCATAATTATGTTCAGATATTCCTATGGCTCAGATGGTAAAGAATGTGCCTGCAATGCAGGAGATCTGGGTTCAGTCTCTGGGTCAGGAAAATCCCCTGGAGAAGGGTATGAAAACCCACTCCAGTATTCTTGCCTAGAGAATCCCATAGACAGAGGAACCTGGCAGGCTACAGTCCATGGGGTCCCAAAAAGTCAGACACAACTGAGCAACTAACACTTTCACTTTTCTTTCACATTCCTAAACCAACTATAAAGGTGAAGAATTAAGTGAAATTCATGAAAACAAGGTCCTAACAAATCCCTCAACTAAAAGGTTTATTAATGCCAAGTATAAGTAGGAACGAAATCCTATTTAGATCACTGAGTCTGCACGTGGGGAATTCAGCCAAGGATATAAAACCATGTTTGCCATGGCACAACTGCTTGTTTCAACAAATGTCAGCAGCAGTTTGGCAAAAATTCTGCCACCCACTTTATCCAACTGGGCTACATTTTATTTAGGGATACTCACTAACTATGTTTAAAAAACATAGGACATAAGATGGTTAAAGGGGTATGTTTTTAAGTTGAGAGGTTTTTTGTTTTTGTTTGTGGCTGTACCTCGCAGCAGGTGGAACTTCTTTGACTGGGGGACCAGGCTTCCAGCCCTCGCCGCCTGCAGTGGAAGCATGGAGTCTTAACCACTGGACAGCCAGGGAAGTCCAAAGCTGAGAGCTGTAAACTCTCTGCCCCCACACTCGGAGGTTCATAGAACTTCCCGGTTTCTAGCGGGGTCGCAGATGGAGCACAGGTGTGCCAGCCTTCTCACCCAGGCTCCTGCTGAAAGGACCAAAGACAAAACCACAACAGAAAGGATGAAGCCTGACATGGAAAAAAGAATACAGGTGTCCTCGGGAGTTAAGACACCTGAGGATTGCATGGGCTTCCCACGTGGCTCAGTGGTAAAGAAACCACCTGCAATGCAAGAGACACGGGTTTGATCCCTCGGTCAGGAAGATGCCCTGGAGGAGGAAATAGCAACCCATTCCAGTATTCTCACTTGGGAAATGCCCAGGAGAGAGAAGCCTGGTGGGCTACAGTTCATGGGGTTGTACAGAGTCAGACACAGCCGGAAGAGAGAACGCCAACAGCACAGGACTGGTAAAGAAACCACGAGGTGAATCTGCAGAGACAAGGAAGCTGGCCCAGGTGGCTGGATCCCAGGAGCCCCGCCAAGGCCTGAACACAACTGCAGTCCTGAGACTTCTTCAGGCTGGAGCCACTTTGCAGAACGTGGGTCTCTGCCAAGAGGGATGCTGAGACCCCGAGGAGGCAGAGCCCAGCTGGAGGAACTACATGCTCCGCTGGCAAAGTGAAGCAACGCTGTCTGTGGCCCCCGGAACACAGGCTCCGTGCGGACGGAACCTCACTGACCCACCCACCTTCCAGAACCCCATGCAAGTGAGGGGTGCCCAGAAAAGCAGAACTACATGGCCACAGAGGAAGCCCCTCTCTTAAATTAGACATACATTAAATTTTATAATTAAGCATACATTAAGTTTTATAATTAAATATACATTAAATTTTCCCAGGCTGAAGATTAAAGGCTCCAATAAATGTTAAACATGACAAAAGAAGGTTGAGACATCTCAGAGGCGTTCCCAGCAGTTAAGGAGAAACAATACCTCTGAGAAAGAATAAAAAATTAACCACAAAATGTAAGATCCAGAGGGACACAGTAAGCAGTAAAAATTACTTGAGGAGCTGTAGTAACAGAAGAAGAAGAAATCAAAGAGGACAAAATGGAAACCAAAAAGGATAACTAGTGGGTACAATCTAGAAAGAGCAAAAAACAAATAAATAAACTAGAAAAATCAATAGCTCTATCAAAATATTTGGAAGGCTCCTCGGCAGAGTGTGATGTTCAGTTCAGAACATTTTCTTCTTTCTGGCTCCAGCCACAGTTTCTAGATCATATGGAATACACATTACCTACAATGCTATACTACTGTACCAGATTTTAATTTGTTAGAACAATCTATGGACCAAGATACACAGAAGGCAGACCCCACAAGCAGTTCAGAGCGGCTGAAAGAGGACACGCAGGGAGGCCAATGTGGAGGCAAATGAAGCTTCAAGGAGGAAAAGAAAAGAAAAGATCAGAGCCTCAAAAGGCCTAGATGCCACCCCAAGGAGTCTCCTTGTGTCCTGGAAGGAGTGGAGATAATTTCCTCCTCTCGCTGTGTGCCAGGGCACCTGCAAGTCCTCTCCGTGTACCATCGCTTTTGACCTTCACAGTTACACTGACAAGTGGGGCATTCTGAAGACAGCAGAGACCTATGGGACACGCCCGAGGGCCATCTGGAAGGACCCGGGTCGTGGGCGGGGAGAGGGGCAGCGAGCTGGGGCCGGGGGGCCAGCCAGCGCAAGAGCAGTGGTGACCTGCGGGAGGCGGCAAGCACAGGAGGAAAGGGCCAGTTTCTCCCGACAAACGCGTCTCAGGAGGCAACTGGTTTCAGGTCCGCGTCCCTCAGTGCCGAGGAGGCAACGACAGGAAGGGCACAAGGACCGCGCCGGGGATGCGGAGGAAACCGCGGGCTCAGAGCAGCCAGCCCTGAGCTGCAGCAAGATCTGCATCGTGTAGGCAGCACAGGGCGGACAGACGTCCTTCTTGGACACACGTACAATCTCCAAACTAGCATCACTGAACTTTACACTTCAAAACGGTTAAAATGGTCACTTCTGTTATGTTTACTTTACCACAATTAAAAATGACTTGTACATGAGTAACTCTGGCCACCTGATGTGAAGAAGTAACTCATTTGAAAAGACCCTGATGCTGGGAAAGATTGAAGGCGGGAGAAGGGGACGACAGAGGATGAGATGGTTGGATGGCATCACCACCTCAGTGGACATGAGTTTGAGTAATCTCTGGGAGTTGGTGATGGACAGGGAAGCCTGGCATGCTGCAGTCCATGGGGTCGAGAAGAGTCAGACACAACTGAGCGACTGAACTGAACTATAGCCGTATTATTCATAACAGACAAAAAATGGAAAACAACTCAGTATCTATGAAATGATGAATGGATAAAGAATAATATGTACAGTGGAAGAGTATTTGACAACAAAAAGGAGGTAAGTACTGATCCATGCTACACAGTGCAGGAACTCTGGCAAGATGAGGTTAAGTGAAAAGAAGCCAGTCACAGGAGCCCACACAGTACATGGTTCCGGTCTGTATGAAATCCATCTACATGAAATTTCCAGGATCAGCAAATCCACAGATACAGAAGTGGATGAGTGCCTTTGGCTGGAAGTTGGGGGAGGGAATTGGGAGTAGCTACCAGTGGGTACGGGGTCTCTTTCCAGTAATGAATATGTTGTAAAACTAAAAAAACTGACTGTGGTAATGGCTGCACAATTCTGTGACTATATTAAAAACCACTGAATTATACACTTTAAATAGGTGAATTGTAGGGCATGCTAATTATATCTCCAAAAAATTGCTATTTTTAAAACATAATGAGAAAAAAATGTAATGAGGCTAATTAACAAGGTTGGATAGGTTTTTTTAGGGGAAAAATACTCTGACTTTATGCTATCTGAAGTTAATTTTGCTAGTTAAAATATTTAAACTTTCTTAAAAAGGAACTATAATGGTACTAAAGAAAAAACAGATTTTTAAAAAATTATCTTGGGAAAAAAAAATTATCTTGGAGTATAGGTGTCTTCCCTAAATACAACAAAAAGTTCCGAGGCTAATAAGAAAAATATTGATATAGTTCCTACATAAAAAATTAAAATATCCATATTGAAAAAATACTGCAAGTCAAAAGGCAAGAGCAGAAATAGAAAATGTATTCACATTGAATATAAAAGGATAACTCATTTCAGATATAAAGAACTCTTACAAATGAATTAGAAGAAAAGAAAACTGAAAAAACCCAAGAAAACGGCTCAACTTCATCCATAATTAAAATGAGACCATTTTTCAAATTACAACTTGACATGAATCTAAGCAAACTTCGGAAGACAGTGAAGGCCAGGGAACCTGGCGTGTTGCAGTCCATGGGGTCACAAAGAGTCGAATATGAATAAGCAACTGAACACCAACAAAAAGATGAAAAATGGTAACCATGAGTGTTCGCAAAGTCACAGGCAAGGGTAAGGTGACACAGACTTTGCAGCAGTCTATGTGGGAATGTCAGCATTTTGCATGCACATCCTGTGAACTGGAAATCACGTGTGTAAGCAAACACAGTGATGACCGCCCTTATGCACGGCCCTACACATGGCTTGCTCTATACACGACTTCTTACGCTCACGTCAGGACCTGTAGCTAACTCTCACTCTCACAGCTGTGGAGTCATCCGTGACACTGACGGAGCTTATTGTTTATCTGACCACTCCTTTCCTGAAGTTCCCATCAATAATTCCTGTCCACACACACAGAGATCCGTCTGGAAGGAGAAAGAAACGGTTACCAGCGTCCCCTTCTAGAGGGGATGAGCACTGCACTTCTCTTCAGCTCTATTGAGAACAATGGGCCTATATTACATCTTAAAGAATGTTCTTAATTTATTTTTATTTATTTATTTGGTCATGCCACACAGCTTGTGGGATCTTTCTCTGGGAGTTGGTGATGGACAGGGAAGCCTGGCATGCTGCAGTCCATGGGGTCGAGAAGAGTCAGACACAACTGAGCGACTGAACTATAGCCGTATTATTCATAACAGACAAAAAATGGAAAACAACTCAGTATCTATGAAATGATGAATGGATAAAGAATAATATGTACAGTGGAAGAGTATTTGACAACAAAAAGGAGGTAAGTACTGATCCATGCTACACAGTGCAGGAACTCTGGCAAGATGAGGTTAAGTGAAAAGAAGCCAGTCACAGGAGCCCACACAGTACATGGTTCCGGTCTGTATGAAATCCATCTACATGAAATTTCCAGGATCAGCAAATCCACAGATACAGAAGTGGATGAGTGCCTTTGGCTGGAAGTTGGGGGAGGGAATTGGGAGTAGCTACCAGTGGGTACGGGGTCTCTTTCCAGTAATGAATATGTTGTAAAACTAAAAAAACTGACTGTGGTAATGGCTGCACAATTCTGTGACTATATTAAAAACCACTGAATTATACACTTTAAATAGGTGAATTGTAGGGCATGCTAATTATATCTCCAAAAAATTGCTATTTTTAAAACATAATGAGAAAAAAATGTAATGAGGCTAATTAACAAGGTTGGATAGGTTTTTTTAGGGGAAAAATACTCTGACTTTATGCTATCTGAAGTTAATTTTGCTAGTTAAAATATTTAAACTTTCTTAAAAAGGAACTATAATGGTACTAAAGAAAAAACAGATTTTTAAAAAATTATCTTGGGAAAAAAAAATTATCTTGGAGTATAGGTGTCTTCCCTAAATACAACAAAAAGTTCCGAGGCTAATAAGAAAAATATTGATATAGTTCCTACATAAAAAATTAAAATATCCATATTGAAAAAATACTGCAAGTCAAAAGGCAAGAGCAGAAATAGAAAATGTATTCACATTGAATATAAAAGGATAACTCATTTCAGATATAAAGAACTCTTACAAATGAATTAGAAGAAAAGAAAACTGAAAAAACCCAAGAAAACGGCTCAACTTCATCCATAATTAAAATGAGACCATTTTTCAAATTACAACTTGACATGAATCTAAGCAAACTTCGGAAGACAGTGAAGGCCAGGGAACCTGGCGTGTTGCAGTCCATGGGGTCACAAAGAGTCGAATATGAATAAGCAACTGAACACCAACAAAAAGATGAAAAATGGTAACCATGAGTGTTCGCAAAGTCACAGGCAAGGGTAAGGTGACACAGACTTTGCAGCAGTCTATGTGGGAATGTCAGCATTTTGCATGCACATCCTGTGAACTGGAAATCACGTGTGTAAGCAAACACAGTGATGACCGCCCTTATGCACGGCCCTACACATGGCTTGCTCTATACACGACTTCTTACGCTCACGTCAGGACCTGTAGCTAACTCTCACTCTCACAGCTGTAGAGTCATCCGTGACACTGACGGAGCTTATTGTTTATCTGACCACTCCTTTCCTGAAGTTCCCATCAATAATTCCTGTCCACACACACAGAGATCCGTCTGGAAGGAGAAAGAAACGGTTACCAGCGTCCCCTTCTAGAGGGGATGAGCACTGCACTTCTCTTCAGCTCTATTGAGAACAATGGGCCTATATTACATCTTAAAGAATGTTCTTAATTTATTTTTATTTATTTATTTGGTCATGCCACACAGCTTGTGGGATCTTCGTTCCCTGACCAGGGATTGAACCCAGGCCCACAGCAGTGAAAGGGGGGAGTCCTACCTACTGGACTACCAGGGAATTCCCAAGATCTTTTTAATGAAAAAGTCAGTAGCCATACACTTTATAATGTTTATAATGCACATTAGAAAACCTATGCGATTTTTTCCTGTGAAGAATCCTGATGGTATAAGGAGAATCTATTATAGAGGATTTGAAGCAAACAAGAGACTCAAGAAAAAAATAACATCCAACAAAGGGAAACAGCACATGCTAGACTCGGCCTCCAGAGAAGCGGGCGTGTCTCTGTACTCACCGATGGACTGGCGAAGCTCGCTGCACTGGCTGATGGGCGGCAGTCTCAGCATCTCCCTCCATTTCCTACTACGACCACTTTTTTTGCTAATCCCTCCTAAAAAACAACAACAAAAAAGTACTTCTGTAACATTCAGAACTACGCGTTTCTAACAGCTACTTACTTCCACTCACGTGTTCCCTGGGTCGGGAAGATCCCCTGGAGGACGGCATGGCAACCCACTCCAGTATCCTTGCCTGGAGAATCCCATGGACAGAGGAGACTGGTGTGCTATAGTCCATGGGACTGCAAAGAGTCAAATGCGACTGAAGTGATGGAGTGCGTGCGCACACACACACACACACACACAGTGAAAAATGGTGTGAAACAAAACCAGGTCATGCAAAGGTGGAGGGTGCTCGTTGGGCTAAGATGGGACCAGGAGAGGCCCCCCTGGGTCACGTGTGGGCAGAGACCTCGGAGGCGAGGATGCAAGCCTCCGAAAGGCCTAGGAGGACTGTCCCTAGCAAGACAAGAATGGTAGGCAGAGCAATTAGATAACAGTTAAAAAGATGTTTTCATTTATTATTTGGCTGTGCCAGGTCCTAGCTGCAGCCTGCAGGCTTCTCTCCAGTTGCAGCGCCCAGGCTGCAGCTAGCAGGCTCAGCAGTTGAGGGACAGGGGCTTACTTGCCCCGAAGCATCTGGGATGGTAGTTCCCCAAGCAAGGATCAAACCCCCGTGCCCTGCAGTGGAAGGCAGATTCCTAATCACTAGACAACCAGGGAAGTCCCTTTCATCTTTATTCTTGATAACCTTCCTTCCTCTGAAGTTTCAGCTGTGTGAACGGACAACAGGCACTCCCATTGTCTTCTTGGGGCAGGGGTAAAAACTGTGCTATTTGAGCACAACTGAGTACTCCAGAGCAAGAAGAGTGAACACACACTGACCCCCGACAGCATGAATGCATTTCAAAAACCATCCCGAGGAAAGGAGAGTGAGTGTGAGTGGCTCAGTTGTGTCTGACTCTTCGCGACCCCATGGGCTACACAGTCCATGGGATTCTCCAGGGAGAATACTGGAGCGGGTACCCTTTCCCTTCTCCAGGGGATCCTCCCAACCCAGGGAGTGAACCCAGGCCTCCCACACTGCAGCCATAGCCTTTCCCTTCTCCAGGGGATCCTCCNGAGAATACTGGAGCGGGTACCCTTTCCCTTCTCCAGGGGATCCTCCCAACCCAGGGAGTGAACCCAGGCCTCCCACACTGCAGCCATAGCCTTTCCCTTCTCCAGGGGATCCTCCCAACCCAGGGAGTGAACCCAGGCCTCCCACACTGCAGCCAGATTCTTTACCAGCTGAGGCACAGGTGAAGCCCAAGAACACTGGAGTGGGTAGCCTATCCCTTCTCCAGTGGATCTTCCCAACCCAGGAATCAAACTAGGGTCTCCTGCATTGCAGGCGGATTCTTTACCAACTGAGCTATCAGGGAAGCCAAAGGAAGTTGGACACAAGAGAATTCAGACAGTATAATTCCAGATATAAATTTCAAAAATAGCTGAAACTAATTTATAGGTATATAAATCAGAATAAGAGTTACCTATGGGTAGGGGCCTGGCGTGCTGTAGTCCACAGGGTCACAAAGAGTCAGACACGACTGAGCGACTGAACGACGACGATGATGATGAGGAAGGTAGGCTGATAATGGTTTTTTTTAATATTTTTTATTGGAATATAATTGCTTTACAATGTTGTCAGTTTCTGCTGTACATCATGAATCAGCCACGTTGCATACATACATCCCCGCCCTCGTGAACCTCCCTTCCACCCCCCCCCACTCCACCCCTCCAGGATGTCACAGAGCGCTGAGCTCAGCACCCTGACAGAGGAGTGGATAAAGATGATGTGGTACATACATGCAATGGAGTATTACTCAGCCAAGAAAAGGAGTGCAATTGGGTCATCTGTAGCAATGCAGATGAGCCTAACGCCTGTCATAGAGTGAAGTGAGTCAGAAAAGAAAGCAATCCACTGTTCTTATTCAGTTACTCAGTCATGTCTGACTCTTTGTGACCCCATGGACTACAGCACGCCAGGCTTCCCTGTCCTTCACTATCTCCCGGAGTTTGCTCAGACTCATACCCACTGAGTCAGTGATGCCATCCAACTATCTCATCCTCCGCCACTCACTTCTCTTCTTGCCCTGTCTTTCCCATTATCAGGGTCTTTTCCAATGATAGGCTCTTCACATTAACACATGTATACGCGCAATCTAGAAAAATGACACTGATGAACCCATTTGCAGGGCAGGAACAGAGGCAAAGATTTAGAGAATGAACTCGTGGACACAGTGCGGGAAGGAGAGAAGAGAAACTGAGAGACTAGCATTGACTTATGTGCACTATCGTGTGTGAAACAGCTAGGGGAAGCCGCTGTGCACCACTGTCTTTTGACAAGTGTCTTTCTCCATCTGTTTTTCACCTATACGCATCTCTATATTTAAGATGGGTTTCCTGTAGACAACACAGAGTTGGGTCTTGTTTTTTCATACACTCTGACCACCTCTTAGTCAGTACACTTAGACCACTCACATGGAAAGTGATCACTGACATAGTTGGATTACCATCTACAATATTACTCTTTTCTATTTCTTGCCCTTGTTCTTTGTTCTTATTGTCTTCCATTTTTTTTGCCTTTCACAGTTATAATTGATCATATTATGAAACAATTTTCTCATCTTTCTTAGTATATAAATTATACTTCTCTTTAAATTGTTTTTAGTGGTTGTCTTAGAGTTCATAATTTATATTTATGACTAATCCAAGTCCACTCTCAAATAACACTATGCCACTTCACAGGCAGTAAAATTACCTTATTTAAAAAAAAAAAAACTGCAAAGATTGAGGGCAGGAGGAGAAGGGGATGACAGAGGATGAGATGGTTGGATGGCATCACCAACTCGATGGACATGGGTTTGGGTAGACTCTGGGAGTTGGTGATGGACAGAGAGGCCTGGCGTGCTGTGGTTCATGGGGTTGCAGAGTCGGATACGACTGAGCAACTGAACTGAACTGGAAAGTATTTCTTTTTCATTTTTGAGGGATATTTTCATAAGAAATTCTGTGCAGTTTCTCAGAAGTCAGATGCAATTCATATCTTTCATCCTCTAGAAGTAAGGTGTTCTTCTCTCGGGCTTCTTTCTGGTTTTGTCTTTACCTTTGAATTCCATACCTTTGGGGTTTTTTGCTTCTTCATAGTTACCATCTTATTTTTATATGTTTGGTGTGATTTCCATATCTTTGAATGTGACTTGCCTAGGTGTAGTTTTGGGGGACATTTATCCTATTTGGTGTTTTCTGAGCTTCCTGGATTTGTGGCTTGATGTCTGACAGTAGTTTGGGGGAAATTTTCAGTCATTTTCAAATATCTCTTCCACTTCTGTTTCTTCCCCTTCTGGTCTTCCCTTATATGCATGTTACAATTTTGTAGCTGTCTCATAGTTCCTGGGTGTTCTGATATCTATTCAGTTTTTTTTTTTCTCCTTTTCAGTTTCAGAAGTTTCTACTATCACATCCTGAACCTCAGTCTTTCCTCAGCCCTGTTCAGTCTATAAATGAGCCCACAAAAACATTCTTCATTTCTTTAAAAAAAAAAAATTACTTATTTTTGGCTGTCCTGGTAATTCCAACGTTCCTACTTTTACTCAGACCGTGAAGTCATGAAGAAGGTGGAGGAGAAGGCCGACATGCTCAACATGAACTTTAACGGAATCACGCTAGCTGGTGCATTGAGAACAGACCACAGGGTCAGAAAGGCAGAAGTGAGCCGAAGCAGCAGCAACTGCAGTCTTCCAGGCGGAGGTGGCGAGAGGTCAGGGTCGACTGTATTTTGAAGAGAGACATGAAAATGATTGTCCAGTGACTGGGGATGGTGTATAAGGATCAAGGCAATTCTAGGATTTGGGGCCTGAGCTTCAACTGAGATGCTGAAAGAAAAAAAATGGGGCAGGAGAATTAAGATTCTAGTTCTGACTTTTTTTTGTGCACTGAGGTCTAGGAGCAGCGATGCCAAGTGGGCAGGTGGACAATCGATCTGCAGATCCGTACCCTGAGGCTGCTGCGACCGATCACCGTGGGCTGCGTGACTCAGACAACAAGCACCCATTGCTCAGGGCTCTGAGGGTGGGGATTCCGAGATGAAGGTGCCAGCAGATCTGGTGCCTGGTTTATATACGGCTGTCCTCATTCCGGCCTCACACGGCCTTTCCTCGGTACATGCTCTCTGTTTATAAGGGTGTTAATCATCAAAAGCCCCCCATTACAACTGGGCTGCGTGACTCAGACAACAAGCACCCATTGCTCAGGGCTCTGAGGGTGGGGATTCCGAGATGAAGGTGCCAGCAGATCTGGTGCCTGGTTTACATACGGCTGTCCTCATTCCGGCCTCACACGGCCTTTCCTCGGTACATGCTCTCTGTTTATAAGGGTGTTAATCATCAAAAGCCCCCCATTACAACCTCATCCAAACACAGTTACCCCGAAAGTGCCCTGCCTCCAAATCCCTTCCCAGTGGGCCCGAGTGTCAGTAGGTGAGTTTGGGGTGGGGGTAGGGAGCAAGCGCTGCATCCACAGCAGCAGGCTGGAGACATACGTGTTGGAGAACCCTGACGGCCACCCACCCTGAGTGTGGAAGATGACACTGAAACAGAACAGAAAACCAAGACATTTTCCAACAAGGCAAAACTTGCCTTTTTGAAAAAATTTATTTATTTGGCTGCATGAGGTCTTAGTTACGGCATGTGGGGTCTTCAGTTGCGAGAGGTGAACTCTCAGTCGTGGCATGTAGGATCCAGTTCCCTGAAACCTGGGCCCCCTGCATTGGGAGTTTGGAGTCTTGGCCACAGGACACCAGGGAAATCCCAAGGGAAAAACTCACTTTCTCCCACGGTACCAGCTCCAGAGGGCCTCCCAGGTGGTTCAGTGATAAAGAATCTGCCTCTGAATGTGGAGACTCGGGTTAGATCCCTGGTTCGGGAAGATCCCCTGGAGACAAAAATGGCAACCCACTCCAGTATTCTTGCCTGGAGAATTCCATGGGGAGAGGAGCTGGCGGGGTGCAGTC